AAGGGACTCCCCCCTTTCCCTACTTACCTTTGTTGGTCAGACGAATAGCCCCACCCTCCACTCCCATTGTTCATATTTCCTCTATGTAAACCCACTTTTTACCGGCCTACAGCATACGTCGGTTTAGGCACACCTCAACCGATTATTCCTAAAGCTACATCTCTACAACCCATCTTATTCTATATCATATGAGAATGCCCCGAACACAACATTAGTTAATGTTTGAGGCTCTAGTGCTTACATTTCTGCCTGATAAGTTCTGCAAGGTCCCACCGCACCAAGGGGTGCATTTGGTTATGTGCAATAGGCACTGATTAAATATCCGTGGATTTTCTATACCCCAGAAATGACAGTTTTGCTTATTGACAAAGACATTTAAATGAAAATTAGCTTCCATCAGACATGATGAGTTGATGAATATATTCATAGTTATCTCTGACTAATTTGTTCCTTTATGAAATTATCTGCAATAAATCTACCAAGACTCAGTTATAATAAGTATCTTAAAAAAATAATAACTGCTAACAACTTATTTACCCGCCAAATCTTACTCTACATTTTGGCCCACCCTGTACTTAAAAAGTTAAACAATATGCAGACGAGTTCATTATATTCCCAGTGTCATTAATAGTAAAACTTTCAATTTTAATAATTCACTTCCATATCTTACCATACTTTGGAACCTGCATACTTACAGCACTGTAAAGAGTCACACCCATCACAGCACACTAGATCTCCCAAGGTTAAAAGTCTGTAGTATGCAATAAACAAATCAAAGATGTCAAGCTCCCATTAAAGCTTGGAGCAAAGTTCTACTGCATTCTGCAATAGAGCAAGTACAATTATTGCAGGGTAAGGTACAGAGTATATTGCTTCCCTTATCCAGCACAACAGAATTTGACCAGTAAGAATTTATAGTCGATTTTATTAGACACATAGAGGTCATGAATGAAATGGCTGGTGGATCATGTGCAATAAATTGTACAGGAAAATTGGGAATCATGCAGAGGTAGCTGTTATTATTTATTATATGGAATATTGGAACATGCTTATAAAATCATTACACTATACTTTGCGTGTTGCAACTTTTGATTACTTTATAAAGACGTTTACAACTCTCGTACAATGTAATAAAATAAGCCCAGAAATATAAATAAAAATATCTGTTTTGAATACTAGTGCAAAACCATCTAGGGACCTGTCTCAATTCAGAATGCAACATCCAGATATTGTTCACACTATTTAACAATGTCCAGATTTCGGCCAGGGATTGTCAAAACCCTGGACAGGATTTTAGAAATTTAAATATTAAAAAAAAAAAAAGTGTTAATCATGTGGCAGCTGGCCAGTGTTTGCTAGCCAGCCCATTGAAAAACTGGCCAAAAAATAAATAAAATAAGCCTATGGAGGTTAATGTGACACCCATATATATGCAAGGGAGGTCTTTAAACTACTTTATGCCCCACTTGTCATGCGTGGCTGTAGCTACAAATAGTGAGCAGCCAGAATGAATGAGGTGGGGGGCATACATTTAAATAATGGGGGGTGGACATATTATTGTTTGCCTCCCCTGTAACCTTCATGGGCTTTTAAAGTGTAAAAAACAAACAAAAAAACAAACAAAAAAAAACACTGGTTAGGCGTTGAGGGCTACTAATTAAAATAAAACAGGGGGGAGGGGAGGGTGAGCAGCCAGTGTCAACATAGCAACTAATTATATATATATATATCCCCCTTGTACCTATTTGCCTTAATGGCAATACTCTCTAGGACAGTGGTTCCCAACCTTTTTTCACTTGAGTACCCCTTGACAGCCCATTTCCATAAATTGTACCCCTCACATTAGCACAATGTTTGTAATTAAAGGACCACTCTAGGCACCCAGACCACTTCAGCTTAATGAAGTGGTCTGGGTGCCAGGTCCTTCTAGGGTTAACCCATTTTTTAATAAACATAGCAGTTTCAGAGAAACTGCTATGCTTATTAATGGGTTAAGCCTTCCCCCTAATCCTCTAGTGGCTGTCTCATTGACAGCCACTAGAGGCGCTTCCGTGCTTCTCACTGTGATTTTCACAGTGAGAGCACGCCAGCGTCCATAGAAAAGCATTGTAAATGCTTTCCTATGCGACAGGCTGAATGCGCGCGCAGCTCTTGCCGCGCGTGCGCATTCAGCCGACGGGGAGGAGAAGAGGATCGGAGGAGGAGAGCTCCCCGCCCAGCGCTGGAAAAAGGTAAGTTTAAACACCTTTCCCCCTTCTAGAGCCGGGCAGGAGGGAGTATGTTTTCCTGGCACTATAGTGGTCCTTTAATATAGTTACATTTATTTCAAAATTATACGTTTTTCTTTGTCCCATATCCCCCCCTTTTCTCTGCCCTAGGCTCCCCCTGCTACTCCTCTGCCCCAGACACACAAACTGTCACACATAAACACTGACACACATATAGATACAAATACACATACACACACCTGCAGATACACAGATGCAAACACTGACATACATGCAGATACACACCGACATACATACAGGTACAAATGTACAGACACTATGATGCACAAACGTAGATTAAAAAAAACACTGACATACATACAGACACAAAAACATACATACAGATACAAACACTGACACACATGCAGATACACAGACACACAGATACCCACACTGACACACATACATACTCTGGCATGCATACAGACACAGATACCCACATTGACACACATGCATATACAGACATTGTATGTGGCTCAGACTATGTATCTATGTATCTGCATCTGTGTGTCATTATGTGTATCTGTGTGTGTCAGTTTATGTATGTGTGTCTTGGTATGTATCTGTGTGTCAGAAACACAGATACACACATACAGATACACACATACAGATACACACATACAGATACACACATACAGATACACATGCAGATACAGACATATATACATACACTGACAAAACAGATACACACTGACACCCATGCAGATGCACAGACACAGATACACACCGACACACGTGCAAATACACACCCTGACACATTGACAAACAGATACACATTGACACACATGAAGATGCAGTGATACATAAACTGACACACATACACACCCTGACACACATGCAGATACAAAGAAACATAGGGTATGTATCCTTAAGTGTGTCAGTGTATGCATCTATGTATCTGTATGTGTGTCAGTGTATGTATCAGACACACACACAGATACCTATACTGACAAACATACAGATAACCAAACATATATACATACACTTAATGATACATACCCTGACACACATACAGATACAGACATTGACAGACATGCAGATACAAAGACACAGATACATACACTGACACATTTAAGGACACACACTGGCACACAGATACATATATTGACAAGTCTCGCCCACTGGCCGACGTAATACAGAGGAGGAGTGGCGGTGGAGGAAGAAGCAGCGACGTGGCCGCCATTACAGAAATTATTTTGCGTACCCCCTGAAATTGTACCCCTGGGGGTATGCTTACCACTGGTTGGAAATCCCTGCTCTAGGACACTGGTGATATACACTGGAGAAAGTAGTAGCAGGATTGCAAAAAACTGCAGGGGATTATATAATACAATATAAATACATATAAATATATACATACATATAAATTATTTAGATAGCTTAATATCTTCCAATAGATCAGATAAATGGACAGTGTAAAAACCACTGACAGGTTAAGTGAATAACCTTGATCACATTGTTATAATGCCACCTGTCAAGTGCAGGATATATTATTAGGCAGCAAGTGAACAGTCCAGAAAAATGGGCAAGCAAAAAGATCTGAGTGACTTTGACAAGGGCCAAATTGTGATGGATAGATGACGAGGTCAAAGCATTTTCAAAATAGCAAGTGTTGTTAATAATGCATTGCTTAGTACCTACTAAAAGTGGTGCAAGGAAGCACAACCGGTGTCAGGGTCATGGTCACCCAAGGCTCATTGACGCAGGGAGTGAAGGCTAACCCATCTGGTGCGATCACACATAGGAGCTACTGTAGCTTAGATTGCTGAAAAACTTGCTGGCCATGATGTCTCAGAACACACAGTTTGCAACATATTGGGCCACGTAGCCACAGTAGAGTTCCTATGAGGACCCCTGTCACCACTGAAAGGGTGATCTGAACATCAAAACTGTAACATGGAGCAATGGTAGAAGGATACGTGGTCTGATGAATCATATTTTCTTTAAAATCAGATGGGTGGCCGGGTGCATGTGCATCATTTACCTGGGACACAACACTTGCTATTTAAGGACATCTAGAAAAGCACCGACACGTGATCTGCCTTTAAAAGTAACACTTATTTGGGGTAACCGTTTGTTGCTTCAAGGAGAAATCTGACTGACATTTTAGGGTCAAGAAGGCATTAGTCAGTTGTAAAATTTAAATATCACTTTATTCATCCATGTAAAACGGTCACAATGGGGGAATGTGAGCATGGACAGACCCTTATACATCTTGTACCTGAGCAGCACTTCCTCAGAGGCCTGGTCATTACTATTTATAAAGCACCAACAAAATCTGCAGCGCTGTACAATGAGTACAATAGGAGTTGGACACAAGAAAACACATGGGGATGAAGTCCCTGTCCATGCAAGCTTACATTCTAGAGGGAGTAAGTTATAGTGACAAAAGGTATGGATTTTATTTTGGGTGAGACAGTCAAAGGACAGAAAGCTATAACCAGTTAAATTGATATGCTTTCCTGAAGAAGTTTTTAATGATTTCTTTGAAGGAATGAAAAGCATGAGCATCTATTGCCTGTTGTATATTAAGGAATAAAGTGATTTTGTATTATCCCAAATGACTGATGTGTTCTTGCCCTATTTGGATTCTGGAAGAATTCGGTCTTCAGAATTTTTGCATACGGATACATTATAAATACATTTTACCACTTTGTTTTGGGAACATATCCCAGGAATACTAAAGTGTGAAGGATTGGATTTCTTGTATTACTATAATAAAGACAAATGTCATCATATACAAAAGACAATTTATTAAAACGAATACAAATTTGCTTTGTCGTAACATGACATTATAGAACTGATTTTTGGTGACAATACTGTAGATAAAGGCACTTTTGTAAATACTGGATTTGTTTCAGAATATCTACAGAACATCAAAATAAAGGAAAAAAAAGATTAGGTAAAATATTAAACCACTACATAAAAACATGCAGGTTTGAAAATGAAGTATGATAGAGTAAAGAAAACAAAACATTTTAATAGCATGCCCCTATTCCAAACAGAAAAACATTTAAGACATTGTTTTCAGAATTTACTTTGATCCTTTCAGTAATAGATTTCTTACAAGTTACTTATATTTAACCATTGCATTTCACACTTAATGTAAATAACCCTGAGGTCACCTGCTGTCTCAATATAACAGGATATTTATCCGCTCCCCGTTTTTCTCTTAAAAAGGACAAAAAAATAAAAACACAAACTGTGAAAGGATCAGAAAAAAATGGATGTTTACATATAATATATGAAACATTTACAAGTGAACTGAGTGGCCTTGCTTCACATAGCATTAAGACACACAAACATGAGTGATACAGTTAGTGTTAGGTTACATATGCTGCAACAGAACCACTAAATGCAAATCATTGGCAGAAGATAGAAGTAATAGTACTTACACAAATTGAATTAAGGGTCAAAGTGTCTTATGAACTGCTTATATAATGTTCACAATCTCAGCAAGCATTATGTAGTTAAGGTCACACAGACTGATTTGAACTTGTAACTCAAGCTTTCCAAAATGTGATTGCAGGAATATTTTTTAAAACCATCCCTTGCGTCACAATTCCAATAATTATTAATGGTATAAACTAAGCAAATGGATATTTATTTTTTTTTACATGCAAATAATCTACAGCGCACACCTCAACACATTTTTCTTAAAAGCTTCCAATATATTATCTCAAATATGATTAGGTAATTATAACGGTTTCCAAAACATCTCAAATATGAATTAACAAATGTGGCAATCCCCCTTTCCAAAACAAAAAGCCATCATTCCCAATGTAATGGAATCAAAAAAAATAAAATAAAGTTATATATACATACATAATGTCAAATACTTTCTAATTACAAATATAGAAAATGTCATTTCAGTCCATGATGCACAGCAGTTTAAATAGTGGTCATGTGCTAATAACTTCAGGTATATGAATCCACTATTTCAACCTAGTCAAATTTATTTTGTGCCTTTGCCTCATGCACCTTTCGCAATAGGGTAAAGGTCTATATAATCCAGGATCCAAAATCTGCCAAACCTGTTGTACTGTTTTGTAAACATGCTTTGACTTTACATTGAAAAGAAGCAACAAGCTGGTATTAAACACTATAATGAAATATTTTGCATGTAGAAATAAAAACAATTCTAGTATATGACTGAAATAACCAGACAACTGTCTAAAGGTTTGAATATTTTGTCTGATTGGAGAGAAAAATATAATGCATCTTGTAACCCTGTCAGAATATCTATAATATTGTCAAAGAAAACAATGTAGTGGTCTGACGAATAACACTTTTTTTTTTTTTTTAAACATCCAGGGATTGTTACTAAATAAGCAAGTGAGGAGAACCAACAAGGAATAACTCAGTTTAAGCCTTAATATTCAATAATGGCTACTTTGGCCTAAAATTTGCAATTCTCTTGTCAACTATCCAAACTTTCTAGTTTACAGCAGAAACCAGATAATATTTTTCCTGTAACAATTGGAGAGATCATGGCCAAAATGGGCAGATGGGTTGTATAGACATAACCAAGTGGGGGAAGTGGGATAGAGAGCCATGACCGAAATAGGCAGTTGAGCTGGACTGCCATGCTGAAAATGGTCGCTTAAATCTGACCAGATATTATTAATGGTAAGAAGACTGACACGCGTATCTAACCTATTTAGCATGTTGTCATACATATACATAATATCTGTGAGCATACATAAAAAAAAAAAAAAGTTTAAAAAAAAACAAAAAAAACATACTACAGCACCATGTTGCATATAAATAAAAAAATGCCTAAAGATAACTTCAATACAAAAAAACAAAACAAAACCTTATTTTGCATGTAAATTGACTGTAAAAAATGGTCTTCCTTTTGGCAAAAAAAGTATAGAGTTTACTCAATGAAATGCAGTAAATCCACTACAGAACTTAACATATCTACATGCACACTACACAGGAGAGGAAATAATGAAGGAAAAGTCGGATTACTATGTGCAAAATTAGTCACGACTTTGTTTGAAACAAAAACACCATATATATTGCACTCCTCTGTATTTAAACAAACAAAAATATATGTAATGGTGTGATCTTTTATAAAAAGTAGAGAAAAGATACATTAAATAAAAATATTCAACATATGGCTCATCCTTGCATAATTAAAACACAGATTTGTCAGGTATGTTGTGCATATCCATAATCTTTAGGGAGATTAACTCTTGTTTTAAAAACAAAACAGTGCACACGTTTAGACCTTTGACATTCATTATTCTTTGGACTTTTCAATGCCAAGATATCCAAGGCATAGTCTTCTTGGAAGCAGCATCAACTATTTGCTAGATGGAGCCCAAATGTATTGGCTATTTGTCACTTTTTTTTTTGTCCAACCAGACTCTTCATGTTATGGCTTGATATTCATTTGCAACACACCTGTGACTCCTATATATGCAACACATTTGCACAATATCAAAAAGGTTGCCGAATTGGAGAATATGTGCTTTGAGGATGTAAATCATTCTCCATGTCACTGTCATCCCCAAACAGTTCTTCCTCTAAGAAAGATCCCCCCAAGCCATATTCATGCTCATGAATGGATACTTCATTGGGTGTCAAGTGAGATGAACCTTCCACAAAGTCAGCAAATCTGAAAGTAAACCAGACAAGATTAATTACAAAGTCTGCAAGTACTATAAGTTAAATACAGCGCACTCCATTCCAAACTAGCTTAATCAATAGATGTCAAAATAAGGACAAGGTCAGACATTCTAGGGACCCAGGTAATGGTCAAACTGGTTGAATTCTTACTGTGTAATGGTGCCAGAAGACTCTTGCCACTATAACTGCTACAGCGTGTTGTAGTGGTTTTGTTTCTTAGAGTGCCCTAGAATAGGACCATCCAAAAATGTGATATACGGTCAATGTTGAAGGCTAATGCAGTATAGGATCATATTTTATCCTTAAACCACCAGAATCTAAACTAAGCCACAAGCAAATTTAGAAGGGAGGGTGCTTTATAAAGTAATATCAGTTGGTTTAAACAGCACCCTTATGTACGCATATTCAGGGGAGGGCAGCTGATATTCACTACTATAAATCAAATATATTATAACTTTTCATATATTTGTCACCTAATCTATTAAACCATTGGCTGACTACATTAAATTTTGAAACAAATAAGTAGAAAAAAAGAAAAAGGATATAGCTTGTGTTAATGGTTCTGCTGCAAAGAGAGTCCTGATGCCATGTTCAGTTTACTGTCAAATTGTTTAGGCATCGTTCCACACAAACTAGGCATTCTCCCAGACATGTAGACAGTGCCTCTTCCTTGGCCACATTGGAAGGGTGGAATTAGCACTTTCATATTAACAGTATTAATTTGACAGCAAATTTCAATTTAATTTTTTCTCATAGTATTTTGTCATTTCAGTCGTATTTTAGTAATCTGAATGGTTTTAGTTTTAATCGACTAAATCTCCAGTAGGTTTTAGTCAACACAACTAAAATCTAATAGGTTTAGTTAAAGCCTCTGTCTCTTTTGTCCCTTTCCCAACCCCTCAGTGCCTTTTTGCCCCCTCCTTCATTCTCCCAGCCCCTCCCCCATGTGCCTCATTCTCCCAGCCCCTGCCCAATGTGCCTCATTCTTTCAGCCCCTCCCCCATGTGCCCCATATGTGTCATTCCCTCAGCTCTCCATGTACCCAATTTCCTCTCCTTCCTCCCCTGTCTTACCAGCCAGTGTTAATTTTGGCCACAAATTTCAATTTAAATGTCATAGCCCTGACTAAAAAGCTGTTTTAGTCTTATTTTAGTTATCTGAATGGTTTTATTTTTAGTCTAGTTTAGTCAACTAAAATAGTTAGTTGACAAAATTAACACTGTATATTAATGTTTTGTTTTTTTAATTCAACCTGAACAGAGGGGACTGGCTGGGGGTAGTGGACTAACCCACCGCCAGTCCTCTTTGCAACTCAGTGCTGTCAATGCTGGAGGAAAATAAAATTTGTAGTGTTGTTTTTACACTATCAATCTGGCTTAGGAGTTAGAAGTCTCCATGAGATCTGTGGTTTATGCCAAACGGTTTCTAAAAGGTTTGACATTAAACATGGGAACAGTGCCAGGACAATCTAAGTAGCATAACCACTACAGCCTGGTATTTTATGTTGTCTAGAGTGTTTAATACCTGACCTCTTTACCTGTCACTTTTTTGCATACTACACCAATTAATAGCAGCATGATAACCAACTATAACGTGTAGAGCAAAAGCAATAAAAAGTTACCTGTGCACTAGTCTAAATCCCTATGTACATTTAAATAATATGGGGATTTCAGTACCATTCCAATGGCCATTAAAGGGCACGTTCACTTGCCCTGTCAAATAAAAACTTTTAGGTGAATTCTACACTAACGATTCACCTCGATGCTCGTGTGTGGCAGCACTGGGTGTTTATGAAAATACCCTTTCCTATCTAAGATTTTGCCTACTGAATACCTCCTGTGGTATAATGCGCAGGTATATTTTTTGTTTTACTACTGTGACAATTGCTGCAACCCAGAATTAGTGGGAGTTTGAGCACATGGCTTAATTTTTTCTATAACTTGTGTTAACTTTTTTTACATAGAGACCCTATTTCTTTTGAATGTATATTAAAAATGTAGGAATTTACATCTGAATACAGTTTAGTCATGGCACATATTGCACTGTAGAAGAAATATTAATTCTGTTTCTGCTCTGATCCTTAAGCAGACTGAGGTGCAAAGAACATAATGATTGACACAGAGAAAAGATGGAGGCATTCAATTAAAGAATACAGCACTATGGATTTCTATATTTAATAATTTTTTTCAGACCTCACAAAACACATTGTTCTTAAATATATATATATACACACATATATATACATACACACACACACACACACACACATATACACACACATACACACACACAATTTTTATAGATTTGTTTATAAAAATAATGGTGATAGTCCCTCTATAAAATCAGTTAAAACAATTTTGCCAACACCATCTAGTGTTCATAAATTAAAATACAGCCATTTATTTTACTGTGAGTGATCTATCTAAATTAAAATCAAAATTAGTTTTACTGAAGCCGATTTTTTTTCTTCTTTTAGCTAAGCACCTTGTGACAATATTATTTCAAAATAAGGTTCAAAATGTGTACACACATTTTCTTTTTTTAAATTTGATTTTCTCACCCTAAAAACGTTGCGCAATAAGACTAAATGCCGAACTAACATGGGGCAACAGGACACACCTGGCATCATCGTCACCACAGAAAGCAGTGTTTCATTTTTTTTTTTTTATTCACATGCTATTATTTCTAGTGCTACTTGTTTTTATTTATTTATTTCTTTTTGCATCATATGATCTCAAAAAAATAATTCAATAAATTGTTATGTTTTAACTTCCATGTAACTGTTTCTACGGGTTTATATTAATGACTGCATTGGAACTTTCACCTAAATGGAATGTCACATAGTTTATCGAGCCTAACTGCAATACACACCTGTATACCACATGAACTAGCTAGATAGCTCTTCCTATGTCCACAATGTCTACACTGTATTTATACACTAATGTGTAATGTAAATAGTATCCATTGTAAAATTAGCTTTTCTTTCATTTCTTTTAATGTATCCCCAGATTAATCACTACTTAATCACTTAACCTTTACTATAACAATAGGCAGCATGAAAGATCATGGGTTAATGGATAAGAAGCAGTATTTCACAGATGTAGATTAACCCCTTAAGGATGCAGCTTAAAAAACTGGACTTACCCAACTACACCATATCCCCACTTGAAACTATAACTTGGATAGCATAGAGAATTAGGATAATAGACTGCCAACTAAAATAAGATACAGGTGGAGGATGGAGATAGCCTACTTGTTCTCAGACCCTACGTGTTCACAGATACTACTCAACGCTTACATGATTCATTGGACTTTTTGACACTTCGATACATTTTGACATTTTGTTATATTTTGATATATTGTGATATAAGTAAACAGATGTGTCACTTACTTCTCTCCTTCTGCGAAAGGAACATGATATTGGCTTGTCGCCTCCCATGCTCCCCCACCTTTTCCCTCCCCCTCCCCCTCTTTGTTCTGTACCTATTTTTTACCTTTTACTTTTTGAAAATAAAAATTGAAATTTTTTTTTAAAAAAACTGGACTTACCCTTAAGGACACAAGCAATTTTTGAATTTTTTGCTGTTTGTGTTCAACCTCAGTTTGCATTTTTCTTATTTATTGCACCAACACGTTATATACTGTTTTTTAAAGGACAAAAAGGGCTTTAATCTGAGGTGACATATACATATATAAATCCTTACTTATTATAAAATGAAGGGGGTGGGGCCTGACTGTCATGGAGGGAAGACGTGCCTTGCTAGTGCTCCTAACTATGGCATTTCTTGACCACAAACAACCCTCAAACGAGACCTTAAGCGAATTACCAACCTCCAGTCCCCGTGGTGACCCGGTAATACGGCCCATGAGCGGACAACAGACGGACATATATGTCTGCGAGAGTGTGCGGCCCGGCAGGCGATGGATGGGAGAGGCGGCCGATCTCCCGGTCTGGAGCTGCCTTAGTACCGACTGCTATAAGCGGTAATCCCGGTCCACCCCTGGGGGTCCTCCTCGACGCGGCGGTAACAACAGGGAGGTTAGCCAGAGAGATGAGAGGCACACCAAAGATGGCGGAGACTATGCGGCCCTCAGACAACCAAGAAGTGCAACACAACCATGTGTCCAGCCTGGACCGCAAATTTCAAGAATTCTGGCTCAAGCTCGAGCACAGACTACAACAAAGTACCCTACTACTGTCGAAAAGCTACTCACCTCGACAGCTGCCACCTGACCCACAGCGACAACAAGCAGAACCCCCGGCGGGTAACACAGCCACAAGATGGCGGCGGAGAGCCAAAAACACACCTCCTCCACGAAAGGCAGCAAAACGGAGACTGAGCACAGGACCTCCTCAAGTACTCACTTCAACAGAGGTGACTATACTCCAGCTGCACGGTCCAGCCAGCCGACCCCAACCACACAAGATAGATCACTGCATGGCGGCTTCTTGAGCAACCGCAGCAGGGTACTACACAGCCACAACGCGGCATTGGTTAAACCACCCTGGGCGAATAGAGCCACTGGTCTGCGGACGGAGAGACCTGACGCGGCACCCTGAGCCTCGCCACGAACTTGAGGGCATACCTTTCTGCCAGCCGGCTCGTTTGGGGAAGGATTCATGTCTGGGAAACCCTAGGGGGATTTTATTATATCACTTTACTTTCTCGCTGGCATTATTAATCCTATGCTCTATTAATTCTATGATGCATCATGCGATAGCCATAGGAGTACATTCAATCTAGGCGCATAATCTAACCTCTCACACGTACTCCACGTCCACATATCTCAGCCTGCTTAACGAAGTAACAACGATTACTCTCCACATAAATGCTATGCCACACACACCTATAACTCTAAGCATAACCATTATTTTCATAAGCATATGTAGCTTAGCATTAACACTACGTTTCACTAAATCATCAAAGCTGGTTATTATCTATATATATATATATATATATATATATATATATATATATATATATATATATATAAAAAATGTGCTGTTTTTTCTGCCACGTACGTGGATGCTGTTGAAAGGCTTGCGTCTGCTGTCGTGGCTCTGCAAGCTTCTATGTTATATTATGCACAAGAAAAATAAAAAATGCAAATAAATAAATAAAATGAATTTTAAAAAAAAATGCAAAAAATATAAAAACTAATAGTTTCCCCCCCCACAGTTTAGGCAATAATAACGTGTGTATAATAAGTGCAGCTTAAGGAAAGGAATTTAAAAAAAAGTTAATTAGTTGTTCTGATTTTCAGAGTACATAATATGTCTAGGATTTCAGCTTATTTTGAAAGTTACAGGTGACAAAATACAAAAAGTAAAATAAAATTTTAATGTGAAGCTATTTTAGTTTGGTATGTTTTGTTTTGCAAGCTTAAAGGACCACTATAGGCACCCAGACCACTTCAGCTTAATTAAGTGGTCTGGGTGCCAGGTCCAGCTAGGTTTAACCCTTTTTGCAGTAAACATAGCTGTTTCAGAGAAACTATGTTTACCTATGGGTTAATCCAGCCTCTAGTGGCTGTCTCATTGACAGCCGCTAGAGGCGCTTCCGCGCTTCTCACTGTGATTTTCACAGTGAGAAGACGCCAGCGTCCATAGGAAAGCATTGAGAATGCTTTCCTATGGACTGGCTGAATGCGCGCGCGCGGCTCTTGCCGCACATGTGCATTCAGCCAGGCACGTCAGAAAAGGGAGGAGAGTCCCAGCGCCGAGGGAGCCCGGCGCTGGAAAAAAAAGGTAAGGGATTAACCCCTTCCTCCCCCTTCAGCGCTACGGGAGTGGGGCCCTGAGGGTGGAGGCACCCTCAGGGCACTATAGTGCCAGGAAAACGAGTAGGTTTTCCTGGCACTATAGTGGTCCTTTAATAGCCATCACAGAAAGCAATTGCTGCACAAAAAAGTCTATATTTATATAAAGCACACATCCCAGGCTATTTACCTAAGGGTATTCGACAATTTTTACGTAGCCATTTCGCCGCCAATCTCTGCTAAATAGTGTAGCAAAATTGTGTTTTTCTCCCATTTCTAACATACACACATAAAACAAGGATTGTTTTAATGTGTATTTCATAAAGCTGATGTATACAACTGCTGTAGAAAATCCCATACTGTGTTTAGCCATATCTACTGAGTAAAACGATACCCCCAATCTATGCCTTTGCCCCTATCCTGTGAATTTACAGTGCCATGAAAGAGACCTGACCATTTCAGTTTTCACAGTGATAATTTTGATAGATGAATTTGATGGGGGCAAGTCTCATTTGGGGCATTGTAGCAGTTTGACTGTTGAATTTATCCCTCAAGGACCTACCAAAAAAAAAAAAGTAGACACTACAGTGTATCTCATATTGTGTATATTGTGCTAATGTGATGGCATTTTTTCACTAGTATATGTCAAACTTTGTGGTAAAATATTTTAATTTTTGCATTTTTTACAAACACATTACATTTTTTGGGGTCATATTTCAAGTCTGGTATGTGCCACTGATCAAAACCCCATAATTACGCTTTTCAAACTCTTCTGAATAAATCAATACCCCCAATGTATGTCTTTGCCACTATCCTGTGAAGCTACAGAGCCTTAAAAGAGTCCTGACCATTACAGTTTTTACAATTAGAATTTTGATAAAATGGATTTGATGTGTCTATATCACATTTTAGGGCATTGTAGCATTTTGACAGTTAAAATAATCCCATAAATGCATACCATTTGTGAAAATTGACACCACGGGCTATGTCATACGGTATATTTTGAGCTTATGTTATGTTTCCACCAATTTCTTTCAAATTTTATTATATTGTTTTATTTTTGCATTTTTATACACATGTATTTTAGTGGTTAATTTTGGAAATTTATGTGCTACTGTAAATTAAGTCACAAAATTATTCTCAGCGATATTTCCTTAGTACAAAATGACCCCCTTTCTACACCGTAGCCAGGTTTTTGTGAAAATACAGGGCTAAAATCATACCCAACTCAGTACAGTTTATTTTTTTAATGGCAAATTGACAATGGGTCTTTGTTTCATTTTGGGGCATTTTAGTCGCACATATATTTAAATTACGCCACCAATGCATACCATTTACAAAAGTGGACACCATGGGGACTCTCACATAAATTATAAGCTTTATTGAAGTGATATTTTGTTACCATTTTGTTTCAAAGTTTGTGGTATTCGTTTTTATTTTAACATTTTTACATACACAGTATTTTTTATGCTTATTTTTTAAAATCTCGTGTGTCCCATGGTCATTAAATTATCTTAGCTCTACTCCGCAACATCTTCTCAGTACAAATATACCCCATATGTATCTCTTTGGAAGGGAGTGATCTTAATCTTAATCCCAATCTAAATTCCTAATCCTAAACCAAGCCCTAATTCTAAACCAAATCCTAATCCCAAATCTAACCCTCAATCTACTCAAACCCTTACCACAATCCTAACCCATAATGTAAACCCATGTGTAACCCTAATTATAACCTTAATCCTAATCTCAATCCTACCTTTAGCAATAGTGTTAAAATGATTCCCCCTGCTGGTTTCAGCAGAGGAATTCCCCTGATATATTCAGCAAGGGATGCCCGTGCTGACCCAAATCTTAATCTGAACCATAATCTGAATCCTAATCTGAAATATAATCCCAATACTACAAACATTATAAACCTAATGTTAAACATAAATTTAATAATAAACCGGATAATAAATCTAATATTTATTCTAAACTGAATAATAATCATTAATTTAATTTTAATCCCAAGAGTTTCCCTCTGCTAATATCAGTACTGATATTAGTAAAGGGATTTTAAACTAAAACAGACAGTGGTATTTTGCTGCCATCTATTGGCTATTTTCAGTATTGCAGTCTCCCATCTCTTACATTAAAGACATTATGCCCAATGCAATGCGATCTGTGCTGGGAAACTGAAAAAGCCCAGCACTGATCAGAATGGCATTGGGGCATAGAGGGCCCCAGGCTGTTCAGAGCCTGGGGGTCTCCCAAGCACCAGATCACTTGAGAAAATGACTGTAGTTGAGCTTGGTCGCTCTCCTGCAATGTTGGTGGATTTAAAGGGCTACATGCAGACCATCAAAAAGTCTGGGGCCACAAAAAATGGCCACAGCTGACCGAGGGAAGCCCCAGGTATCTATTGATACCTAGGTTTCGTGGTGTGAGCAGAGATTTATCTGTTCACAGTCTACGGGGATGTAAATCCCCATTAAAGGGACACTATAGTCACCTGAACAACATCAGCTTAATGAGATTGTTCAGGTGAGAACTATAGCTCCCTGCAGCCTCTCATGTAAACACTGTATTTTCTGGGAAAATACAGTGTTTACATTGAAAGCTAGGAACATCACCAGTTGCAGTCACTCAGAGTGAACCAGAGGGACTTCGGAGTGGATGGAGGCATAATATGCCTCTATCCACTCAGATCTGCTGTCAGCAGAGCACAGGGCAGCCCTGTGCACAGCATCCTGTGATTTACTATCTCCTCCCTCTGTATGCAGACACTGAACTTTCCTCACAGAGATTCATTGGTTCAATTCATCTCTATGAGGAGATGTTGATTGGCCAGGGCTGTGTTTGAATCATGCTGGCTCTGCCCTTGATCTACCTCCTGGTCAGTCTCAGCCAATCCTATGGGGAAGCACTGTGATTGGATCAGGCTATCACATGTCAGCAGACTGCTTGTTTTTCCTGAGTCTAACAGCATGCAGATTTACAGCTTCTGGCTTGAATACAGTAAGATTTTTACTATATTTATGAAGGCATGAGGGGCCCAGGGGGGCTTGATGGTCGTGTTAACACTATAGGGTCAGGAATACATGTAGTTTCACTGGTGACTATAGTGTCCCTTTTAAAGAGCTGCATGCCAACCGCACTTTGAGCTCTGCATGCAGCTCATCAAAAAGTCTGGGGCCACTAAAAACGACCCCAGCTGACGGAGGTGCCCCAGGTTTCTAATGATTACTGGGTTTCCTGGTGTAAGCAGGGATTTAACCCTGCTTACACCACAATCTAGATATAGTTATTTAAATGCCTATTTAAGCAGATACATGCCACACTGACTTCCAGCACTGCCTGTAGCTTATCAAAAAGGCTGGGGTCACTAAAAATTTCCCCAGCTGATAGAGGTGAGCTCCAGGTTTCCACTGATACCTGGAACACCCTTGTGTGAGCAGGGATTTAACCCCGATCACACCAAATTGTAATAGTGGGAATTTAAATCCCCATTTAAATGCTTGTTTGCACTAATTCTGGCCCCAGGAATCAAATGATAACTGGGGCTCACACTTACCAGCAAGGTAATAGACCCTGCTGGAAAAATACTGCATGACGGACTATTTAAGCCTTACATTCTTCCAAAATATATAAAAAAGGAGTACCATTACATTCTCATCAGAACGTCAAATGCCAGGAGTCAAATAATCAAAGTGAAAACCAAAAAAGACACCCCAACAAAGCTGAAGAGACACCTCCTTACTCTAGTAAAGGCTAGAAGAAGCATTTATTGGGTGAATAGTGCAGCAATAAAGGGGAGGGTGGGAAATGTAATAACATTTGTGCTCAGGACACCACCGCCCATATAAATATTCCCACACAAATGCAGGAGTTCAATCATTAAATCCAGAATAATGCAAAAATCCTTGGTTATGACTCTGGCCAAGATGCCTTCTGACCCTTATGCACAGACACCAGAAAATCAGTTCTAGTTAAACACACGCAAAAAATACACCTAATGTATTGTGGCTGAGTGCCGTACTTCTCACAGGGCCTTCTATTGAGGATTTGGCCAACAGTACATAGTACATTCTGTTATGCTCTTGTCCCCTTCACACAATGCATAGCCTGGTCCCAAGTCCTTTTAAGAGAAAATGCTCTCAGCCACACAAGACACTAGATTAGTGAGAATGCTGCAATCTCATTTACCAGACTGCGACCTAGCTGATCTCCTGCTTGGACCACCAGCTAGCTGCTTGAATCACCCACTGGACCAGTGGGGGTTATCCCAGTTTGCACCTAAAAGGCATCCCTGCTGAAAGAGGGCTTCATTGCATTGCGATTTGCCTAGGCAGAAGCCACAGCAACCTAGCCAAGATGGTGGACGCCACGTGCGCATCGGAGCCCAGCAACCAAGAACCACACTAGTTAGAATTTGCACTGATTTTTGGGTGAAACTGCACCCACATACCTCGCAGAAGTCGGGCTGTAGCCCAGCTCAGGAGTGCCACTGAGCACTCTCCCTGCTCCAGCTTCAGGTCAGTCCCGAACACGGCAGTTCCGACCAGCGCGATCCCCAGCGAAGAAGGCAGAGTACCATCCCCCAGGTTTTCCCTGGGGTGGGGGAACCTCGCGGAGAACACTGCAGTCATTACACTTACTGGGCAATTTTTATCTCCCTGGTCTGCCTTGTCTGAGCAGGGCTTTGCTACCATGATCTACTCTGGCAGTTAGCGGTCTCCTCCATTACCCATTAGAAGCAACACTAAGAGAGAATTATTTTATTTGCAGAGTTTCCAGTTAATTTCTAATGTCTTCAGATTGTTGTTTAGCTGGGGCCTATATTCACTTATTATATGTATATGCCAGGGGTCTTAAGGGTGGTATTTTCTGCCACTTACACGTGTTACTAATCTTCTGTATCTTGAAGAAAAAAAAAAATAAAATAGTGCATTCAGCTTAGCTAAAAGTGCAAATTTCTTTTTCCGTTTTAGATTTTATACCGTCATGTCTACATCAAGTGTGTGTTACCATCTATGCACTGCAAAAATAAAGAATAAAGAATTAAAAAAAATTTAAAAAGTGATACATTACCTCTTTGGTGTCTGGATTCGTGACACCACCTTCCATGCAGCAAAATCTGGACTACTGCAAAATTGTCGAAGGTCTTCCAATGCTTTCCTAGTCTCCACTTCTCCCTGTTTCCGGTATTCCTCCTCAGATAACAACCGTGGGGGAATAGGCTTGGCTCTGGCCTTAACTAGGCTTCTATAATTTGAAGATAAAAAAAAAAAAAGTTTAATGGTTAAAAAAACAAAACAAAAAAAACAACACAACTAAATTGTGTAATGTTCACCTTCAATGAGTTTTTATTAAATTACCTTACGATTGTTCTACAAATACAATAGGTGTCCATATATGCACATCAAATAAAACAAATTCTGAATTCAATATTAGAAATAAAAAAATACATCAAAAAGGTACCAGTGGAGAAAGGTTGTTCCTGCCTGTAAAAGGTTTTAAACAGATGAAGACAAAAAACAAACAACAAAAACAGTGGTACAATCAATGCAGAGCACAAAATGAGTTCAGATAAAAGAGAATGAAATCGGACATGAAGAAACCTACATTGATGCAAGCTGGAACAGCAAAAGCAACAGGAGCAAATCTTTCCCTCCGATAACAGGACGACACAGTTTTGGAGTGTAAGCAGTAACAGAATGTTTAATGGGACACACTGCCTTTTATACTGTTTTTCCCCAACAAGGTTGACTCCCAGGGGGACCTTGTGAGGCACAGGACATTAAATTCACAATCCAATAGAAACAGAGTTTTACACTTTAACACTTCCAGTTACTGTACACAAACCCTCCCCTCTGCCTGTGATACAATTAACAAACACAATGGACTAACTCAATTATTCAGAGTCAGAACACACACAATTTCCCCAAAGTACAGAAAACACCCTAAAACATAACTGGATAGCCCTGATTTGGGTGAACAACATATCCAAAAATCACCCAGATCAGAGCAGGGGTTCAGGAAATTCCTGGAGGTCGTATTTGACCGACTACAAGCATGGCTTTCATGCCCAAAATAGTTCCACAGATTTGGGCTGTGTGGTCGGTCTATTTCTCATAGTTCAAATAACCAAATGAATGGGTGAAAAGCCATAGTCTATGTGTGACCCTGGGTCTTGTGTTTAAATATACCGAACGCCGCTGCGTTCCTATGAAAAGAGCCGAATTGCTGGAAGTTCCAGCGGCGTCCGAAAATAGTTCCATGCATTCAACGGCAAAACACCGCTGGCCGTTCGACAGTTTAAGATGGCTGCCGTCATGTGTTCGTGCATACGAACGCCGACCACCCAGCCGTTTGTCAATTAGGCTGCGGCTAACCACAGCTTCTGGGATGTTAACCAGCAGCACACTCCACCTGCGGGTGGTCTGGCTGTTCGTCAGTTTGTTCAGTAAACAAACACCATAAGCATAATCCATTCGGTAGCCCCATATACTGCACCATAGCAGGACAAAAGGTACAAATAGTGTTTGTAGTCCCAAGTTCACCACAGGGCCATAGTCATAGGGCAAGAGGCTACCAAACAGGCCCCTCCAAAAAGCAGTGGAGAGGTCACTTTCGCCACATATCGCCCTCCCTAGGGGGGAGACTAACCAGGTACCTGACCAACTGTTGGTCGGTGCCTGAGTTAGTCGAGTAGCACACCCTCAGGTAAAGACTGGTACTCCTGGCTTCTTGGTGGGAAGAGACCAATGGTATTCTGCTCTGCGGCCAGCATTACAGCTGGGCAACTGAGAGGGATGCCAGTTCCAGGATCAAGGACAACGGAAGGGCAGAGGCCAACTGCGCTCTGCCCTGTTGCCAGCGCGTCTGCTGGGGTGGCCTGAGGGTATTCAGGCCATGGACAAAGAAAAGTGGGAGGACAGAGGTCAACTGCGCTCTGCCCGGATGTCAGCTCTTCTGCTGGGGTGGGATCAGCGAATACTACCCCCAGGACCTGGTAGGGGGTCTGTTGTAGAGAGGGTGGATCGCCACCTCCTCCTCCTGGTATTCCAGTGGGGTAGGATTCGGGATCTGGACCGGCCGTCCAGCATCCCTGTAGGTCTGGTGCACCATCTGCAAAATTGGGGTCAGGGCTGCTGTCTCCCTGTGGTTGGGGAGAAGGATCAGTTGTCTCTTCTCCCTGGAAGGTACACTGCTGCTGGGAAGGGAGACCGGTTGTCTCCTCTCCCTGAAACTCCAGCCGCTGGGTCGGCTCCCTGAGATGCATACTGCCGCTGGGGAGAGAGACCGGTTGTCTCTTCTCCCTGCAATGAAAACAGTCGCTGGGGAGGAAGGACGACACACTCCACTTCCTGTAAAACATACTGCCGTAGTGCTGGTTTTCCTAGGGCTAGGAAGCCGATCCCACCACTGAAGCTAATTCCCCATTCGGCTCCAGGAAACGGCGGTTCCAGGGCCCCAGTCCAGCCACGGTGACTGAGGGCAAGAAGTGCTGTAGTTTGTCCCCGATTCCAGCTAGGAATCGGTCCTTTGGCGGAGGTACCCAACCGGAGCTCCACTACAGCTACATAATCTGTTGGCGCTATATAAATGGCAATAATAATAAACACAGTGATCACAATTTCTTCTAAAAAGGCAAAATAGGAACACTGTTACTTTGATCCTAAAGAATATTACAGTAATATAGCAAACATTTGTTAGCAACAACATTGTGCATGCAACAAAACAAAGATTACCCCAAATATGATTTTAGAGAAAGTAAAAAATAGATAAATAAATGAGTCTGGCAGTTTTATTTCTATGTTCTAGTCAGGGTGTAATGTAATTCTTTCATATTAGAATTCATAGTACGAATAACTACTATTTTCCTTCATATATGGCTGGAACCTTTCACATCAGGAAAAGGGTTTTCTTTCCCCTAATAATCCCACTAGCATATGAAAACAAATATAAAACCCATTTACCCATGTCCATAAAAATCACTAGGACAGAAACTTGGGTTATTTAAAACCATTTGTAGCAATTTTAAAAAGCCACACACGAATACTTGTATTAATGATACAAAGTCTTGCAATGGTGGAAACAGAAATTCAAGATGGCAATCTCCAGTATTGCTAATTTTTTTTCTATGTAAAATGTACCTGCTGTAACTCTGCAAATATATGATTTCTTTTATGTACTGTATTACATGCACTCAGTAAACATTTCCCTCGCAATGCTTGCATCCTTAAACTAATTTAATGATAGTCCTTTCTTTCATGCTATCAATTTGGCACGAATGATCCATGGTATTCTTTGCAATGCCAATCAGAAAGAGAAATTACACCCATATTGTAAATATTTAATAGATTTGAGTGTAAACTGTACTAACATCTGGGACTTACGTGATTAATCTGGATCTACAAGAACATTTTATAACTATAATCAATACCAAAGTGGTTATAAAAAAAAAAAAAAAAAAACAAACAAACAAAAAAAAAACAACCTTTATCTAAAACACGTTTTGCATAGCCAACATAAAGGCAGGCTAGAAGATCAGTGTGTATAAGAGAACCAATAACATTAAACAGTTTAAATTGTTCCTTTTTTTAAATTTTTTTTTTTTTTAAGAAAATACAAGTTTCAGATGTGGATAAAACGTTTGAGAGACTATATGGTATCCTATTTATTTTGCAATATCCAGAAAGAATCTGAAATGTTCGCTTAGAATAATAAAAAATTATTACACACAGTAGAGATATGAAAATGTAATTTAAAAATAAATAAATATTAAAACTCACTGAAAAAGAGGAAGACAAATTGAGGTTTATGGATATTTTGTTTTGCATTTCAACTCAAAATTAAAGTTAGCTAATGTCTAGACTGTGTTGGGAGTGATGATATTAATCACTTGTGATGAAAGGGACAACTAATGAATTTACTGATCCAATTTAACAAACTATAGGCAATCTGCCTGTAGTTAATCAACAAACTGCAGATTGCTAGTTTCATGGAAAATATATTCTGGTAAAGTTTCTGTCTTCCACTGAACTTGCAATACACATAGGGCTAGTCCATACATTTGACCTTCAGAGAGGGTCGCTATAGATTTTACAATTTGTGGACCACATTCAGTTGTCAAAATACTTTGTATTTAACCCCTTAAGGATGCAGCTTCAAAAACTGGACTTACCCTTAAAGACAAGCAATTTTTGCATATTTTGCGATTTGTGTTCAATCTCAGTTTGCATTTTTCTTATTTATTGTGCCAACGCGCGCGCGCGCGCACACACACACACACACACACTTTTTATTTTTTTAAAGGACAAAATGCGCTTTAATCTGATGTGACATATACATATATAAATTCTTCTAAAAAAATATTTAAAAAAAATTTCCCCACAGTTTAGGCAATAATAAGGTGTGTATAATAAGTGCAGCTTAAGGAAAGTAATTCAAAAAATATTCAATTAGTTCTGATATTCAGAGTACATAATATGTCTAGGATTTCAGTTTATTTAAAAAAAGTTTCAGGTCACAAAATACAAAGAGTAAAATAAAATTTCAATGTGGAGCTATTTTAGAATTTGGTATGTTTGTCTTGTAAGCTTAACAGCCATCACAGAAAGCAAAATTGCTGCACAAAAGTATATATTTATATAAAGCACACATCACAGGCTATTTACATAAGGGTATTCTGACACTTTTTACGTAGCCATTTCGCTGACAATTTCTGCTAAATAGTGTAGTAAAATTAGTTTTTTTTCAGATTTCTTACATACACACATAAAACAAGGATTGTTTTAATGTGTATTTCATAAAGCTGATGTATACAACTGCTGTAGAAAATCCCACACTGTGTTTAGCCATATCTACTGAGTAAAACGATACCCCCAATCTATGCCTTTGCCCCTATCCTGTGAATTTACAGTGCCATGAAAGAGACCTGACCATTTCAGTTTTCACAGTGATAATTTTGATAGATGAATTTGATGGGGGCAAGTCTCTTTTGGGGCATTGTAGCAGTTTGACTGTTGAATTTATCCCTCAAGGACCTACCATTTGTGAAAGTAGGCACTACAGTGTATCTCATATGGTGTATATTGTGCCTTAACGTGATGGCATTTTAACCAGTTTATGTCAAACTTTGTGGTAAAATATTTTATTTTTTTTTTACACACACATAATTAATAATTTTTCAAGTCTGGTATGTGCCACTGTGATCAAACCCCCATAATTATGCTCAGCAAACTCTTCTGAATAAAACGATACCCCCGATGTAGGTCTTTGCCACTATCCTGTGAAGCTACAGTGCCTTATAAGAGTCCTGACCATTACAGTTTTTACAATTAGAATTTTGATAAATTGATTTGATGTGTCTATATCACATTTTAGGGCATTGTAGCAGTCTGACAGTTAAAATTACCCCATAAATGCATACCATTTGTGAAAGTAGACACCACAGGCTATGTCATATGGTATATTTTGAGCTTTATTATGCAGTTATGTTAGCACCAATTTCTTTCAAATGTCATCATATTGTTTTATCTTTGCATTTTTATACACACGTATTTTAGTGGTTAATTTTGGAAACTTTATATATGATACTGTAAATTAAATCACTATATTATTCTCAGCTATATTTCCTGAGTACAAAAGGACCCCCTTTGCATACCTTAGCCAGGTTTTTGTAAAAATACAGGGCTAAAATCAATCCCGGCCCAGTCAAGTTTTTTATTTTTAAATGGCAAATTGACAATGGGTCTTTGTTTCATTTTGGGGCATTGTAGTCGCTCATATATTTAAATTACACCACCAACGCATACCATTTACAAAAGTGGACAGCATGGGGACTCTCTCACAAAATATTATAAGATTTATTGAAGTGACATTTTGTTACCATTTGTTACAGTATCTTAGCTGTACTCCGCAAGATCTTCAGAGTACAAATATACCCCATATGTATATCTTTGGAAAGTAGTGATCTTAATCCCAATCTAAATCCCTAATCCCAAATCTAACCCTCAATCCAATCATAAACCCTTACCACAATCCTAACCCATAACGTTATCCCATGTGTAACCCTAATTATAACCTTAGTCCTAATCTCAATCCTACCTTTAGCAATGGTGTTAAAATGATTCCCTCTGCTGGTGTCAGCAGAGGAATTCCCGTGCTATAGTCAGCAAGGGATGCCCGTGCTGACCCTAATCCTAATCTGAATACCAATCTGAAACATAATCCCAATACTTCAATTAATTATAAACCTCATCTTAAACTTAATAATAAAATTAATACTTTTTCCTAACCGAATAATAACCTTTAATTGTAATCTTAATCCCAAAGGTTTCCCTCTAATATCAGTACTGATATTAGTAAAGGGATTTTATACAAAAACAGACAGTGGTACGTTGCTACCATCTACTGTCTATTTTCAGTATTGCAGTCTCCCATCTCTTACATTGAAGACATTACGCCCAATGCAATGCAATGCAATCTGTGCTGGGAAACTGAAAATGCCCAGCACTGATCAGAATAGCATTGGGGCATATAGGTTGACCATACAGGGTCTGTTCAGACCCTGGGGGTCTCCCTAGCACCAGATCCCTTGAGAGAATGACTGTAGCTGAGCTTGATCGCTCTGCTGCAGTGTTCTTTGTGAATTTAAAGGGCTACATGCAGTGCTGACTTTGAGCTCTGCATGCAGCTCATCAAAAAGCCTGGGGCCACTACAAATGACCCCAGCTGACAGAGGGGACCCCCAGGTTTCTAATGATACCTAGGTTTCATAGTGTGAGCAGGGATTTAACCTGCTCACACTACACTGCTGTCTATGGGGATTTAAATCCCCATTTAAACAGCTGCATGCCGATCTCACTTTGAGCTCTGCATGCAGCTCAGTTGTCAGTCTGGAGACATTAGCTGACAGAGGGGAGCCCCAGGTTTCTAATGATACCTGGGTTTCCTGGTGTGACCAGGGATTTAACCCTGCTTACGCCACAATCTAGATATAGGTATTTAAATGCCTATTTAAGCAGATACATGCTGCGCTGATTTCCAGTACTGCATGTAGCTCATCAAAAGGCTAGGGTCCCTAAAAATGTCCCGAGCTGATAGAGGGGAGCCCCAGGTTTCCATGGATACCTGGAACTCCCTTGTGTGAGCAGGAATTTAACCCTGATCACACCAAATTGTAATAGTGGGGATTTAAATCCCATTTAAATGCTTGTTTGCAGCGTTCACTTTGAGTTCTGCAAACAGAGCATCTGTCAGTGTGGGGCCACTAATTCTGGCCCCAGGTGAGAGAGGGGAGCCCCAGGAATCAAATGATACCTGGGGTTCATAGTTACCAGCAAAGTAATAGACCCTGCTTAAAAATTACTGCATGTGCGTCCTTAAAGGGTTAAGAGTCATTTAGTCAAAATGCACATTCATATTTTGTCCATGCTTTGTTCATTTGTGCTTGTACTGTATATGTAGGTCTGAGTTGTACAGAATTTGGTTTATAAATTAGAAACCCTTTTTTTCCCCCTTTGTAAAAAAAGCAAAATTATCTTAAAGGAAAATGCCAGGTTGTTTTACTTATCGAGGAATTAGTAAATACACTTGCAAAAATGTTTTTTTTGGATATCCTGGACACACACAGCTTGGAAACTAGGCTACTTTGTTTGTAGCTTTTTTTTCTGTGATACTATTAAATCAGTCTTTTACATTGATGTTTTATTGTACCAACCGAAGTCACAATAGTCTTATAAACCTTAAAATATTTGCTAACTTTGTAAAGCATGTTTCACTGACCAATATAGGTTTATTTAAAAAAAAAAAAAAATTAGATAAATAAAATAAACTTTTTGCATAAAAACGTAAGGAGCACCACACACAGAAAACACTTTAGAGAATAGTTCAACTCCAACATAATCCATTTATGGCTGTTACAGATCCAAATGATTATATTTTCACCACTAAAATGGCAATTTTATTTATCTTAAAATTTCAACTCCTAAACTACTACGAGCAAGACCTTAAAAGTTACTCACCACTGGAGCCTGCATGGTCTGTGGCACATTCAAAAGGGGTGAATTTGTACTGCCAAGGCTACATTTTAAATTTGCCAATGGTCATTGAATATTTTGAGCTCTGCATCAAATATGAAACCTAGTCGCTGATCAAGGTACCAGCACATAATATATTGCTCAGTGTTTGTAAGAAAGATTACAGTTCTACAACAGTCTAGGATATGTAAAAGGTCATCAGTTTCAAGTTATAAGCAGCTCTTTGTTGCAGCCAGATTAGAATGCTGATAAACTGAAAAATAATTTTATTATGTGTGCTTTTTTTTTTAAACATTTTTTTTAGCCATTAGGTGTTGAAATATTTCTAGGAGCCTGGACACTGTTAAACTTTAACAAAAAGTAATCGCTGAAGAAGAGGGTGGTGGCAGCAAGAAGAGAGATACAGATGGGGAAATCGACTACCACCGCCCCTTTCTTTCTCGACATGTACAATCATAAAAGCAGACATGTCCTATAACGGCAAATGACTTCATTCGCGACTGCCACCTAAAAGGACACTCCACTGTCAAAAAATATGATCAAATAAATATCTGTTTAGTAAATATAACCCCAGGAAAATATGCATGTATTTTTTTCCAATTCCTATTCCCAAATGTGCCCACTGGTATCCTACACCTAGTACAGTGGAAAACACAGTTAAGCATGTTTTCATAATGATCTGACTCCAGTGGGTGGCATATTGATGAATTATTTGTTTATTAACTTAAATACAGTGATATTAAAATCCATATAATAAATTACATAACATTCAAACAATGTGATTGACAAGGGATCAAATTAAAAAGTATAATTCTAAGGCAACAGAAAAGGTTGCAGTAACAATGCAATGTTTAATTTCCTATAAGTGCTTGTTTTAAACATACACCTCAGACCGTGAAGGTTTTGTATCAAGGTTCAAAGGATAAATCCCCATATACTACCCCTCCTAAATGTCATGAAGAAAAAAAAATAAAAAATTGTGCCGTGCAATATTTTTTTCCAGGACAGCTGCCAATTTTCCTACATGAACCGTTTTTTACAACTATATACCTACAATAAAACTCTCCACTAAATCGTAAGGTGTACACGGACGAAAATAAATAAATACATGTATGTTACCCAATTCCCTTTAACCGCTTAAGGACCAAACTTCTGGAATAAAAGGGAATCATGACATGTCACATATGTCATGTGTCCTTAAGGGGTTAAAAAGTCAGACTAAGGTCTGCCTGTGTAGATTACATATTTAAATGAATTTTATGTGTCATTTAAATCCTTGCCCCAACAGTATTAAACGTACATCAAATCTTCAGAAGCTTACTTGTAGAGGATGTGTATCCATCGTACTGGGTACTCAATCTGTTTGGTACAAAACGCGATAACAATCATAGTGATTGCCATCTGCCGTACTTGAATTCCTACAAACATAAGCAGAAGTCCAACTAGCTGCAGAGTCCAGTTAAGCAAGTTAATACTGCGCTCATTTTCCAGTGGACCATATTTATAGCAAATTGCAAAGCTGACAAAGCCCACGAGTCCCAAGTAACCTGTGAAGAGAAGAAATGAGTTAGCAAACAATATCTGACAATTTTAAACCTTTTCTGAATATCTGAGGGAGGAAATAGTTACTGAAACTGCCCAACATTTAAAGCATTACAAACAGATTATGCAGGGATGTCTTGACGGGCACAGGATAGAAATTAAAATTACAACAAGCAAGATTTTTATAAACTAAAAATCTCAAATCGTACATTCCTTTTAGTTGGCTGTTCAGTTGTGCAAAACTCCAACATGTGACAAGTTATTTTACAAGCATGGGATGAAAATACGGTTTAAAATCTTGTGTTTATAGAGGCTGCCTTCATTATTATTGCCTCTAGTGCCTACAGTGGCTTTCAACAAGACATGTGTATGCATATATAATTGGATTTTTCTTTCTTTAAGAAAAGCAGGGGTTTAGGATTCTAAAGGGCAACCACAAATTATAGAAACATTCCAAACCTCAAGTTCTTTAACTTGACTACATGTTTTTTGGGGTTTAGTGCATGTCTCCTTTATATTATTTTATAAAAAGTAACGATTTTAAGAGAGACATTGGCACTTTTAAAAACCTTTCAAAAACCTCACTCATTTTGAGCACGCAATGACAGAGCAAGTAAGGGTTTCTCATAAAGAAGCAATGGTCTCAGAGTTTCTCCATGAAAAGCTTTGCTGGTGGATCATGACAATTTGCCACACACGAGCGAGTGCTATGCTCCACTACTTTTCACAGATTGACTGGGGTGTAACAGAGCTGTCGCAAGAAGATCTTGCGGTTTGATAAAAATCCTTGGATCTCAAGCGAAACAGAGAAAGAACAGTACATTGGAAAAGATTATTTTCTCCATTGTATCTAGTTGAAAACCTATGGTCCTTTCTAGAGCAGGGGTTCTTAACCTGTGAGGTGTGCCCCTGGGGAGGTATGACAAGCCTCAAAAATCTTTGTAATTGCTTCTTTTTTTTGTAATTAGTTTAGATACAGTCGAGTCGCAATATGTGAAATAAAAAAATTCAAACATATCAGAAGCATCCAGATAACCAAAAATTGTATAATCCAAGAGTTTTTTGTAAAATGAAAACTTCTGTTCTGTTTTGTAAAATGAAGACGAACGGACCGTTTAGCTTAATCTTGTACCTAACCCCGTGCTGGAAATGACTCACATAACACTTGCTTACAACAAATCCGCAACCGTTATTGTTAGATTGCACTAAATGCAACAATGGAATTTTCCAAGAGCATTTAAATTTTAATTATTGCTTATTTAACAGTTTGTCTTTCCTCTTCAATGCTAGAAGTTGTTTCGTTATTAACTTTGCTGCTAGAAGAGTAGAAGTTACAATCCTGTGCCCTAAGAGAGAAATAAAAAAGGGAATTGATGAATATGTTAAATATGGGTTCACATGCTACCTTGAGCATGATGGAAAGCAGTGCTTTTTTTATGCGGAAAAACTTATAATGGGAATAAATTTCCCTTGTCAATAATTAATTGCTTTTGGAAAGGAGTGAAGGTGTGAAGTTTAAGTTTACGTTCAGGGGAGGTGTGAGACTAAAAGGGATAAGTACCCCTGTGTTAGAGAAAATCGACACAAAAGTGTAGATCCTCATCTTTTAAATTTAAAGACCCATATATACAGAATAATATAAGAGTTGCAGAAATAATAGTCTCCAATCTTAAATGTTTTACAAATCTTCATATACGTAGGCTGGTTTTGTCGTTAGGAAGATATGAGAGAATAAGGAAAATATGTATTTAAATTCGATACATGTTCTACAACTGAAGAAGCAAGTGAACATGTAGATCTAGATTTTTTTTCCCCCCAAAACAGATTTGAGGATACATTTGGGAAAAGCATTTTACTTAGAGGGAGATGTTTGAATACATTGCATCTGTTCTGTTTCTTGAGGATCCAAGCATCCAGAGTTCATAGAAGAAAAAAAAAATTAAATCTCCTTCCTACTGGTATCGATCTCCACATGCTCAAAATGGAATGTTGCATAGAGAATATTTCAAATGTGCATCTGTAGACAATGATCTTAACCTTATGGCAAAAGTGGACTCGTATAAGAAATGTAATGACTTGAAGATGCAAATCAGTTTAGCAGGGTCTTTATCAGCTTCTTTGGATACGACCGTTCCAGAGCAGAAGCCTGAAAAATTCTAAGTAGAGATACGCCTGCTTACTCAAATGACCTGTGTAGCTTTATTACCTTGTTATGTCACAGGAATATTCCCTTTAGAAATGTCTTCCAAATGCCCCCCTGTGATCCCAGTCATGGGGGGTAGGGATTGACCGATATTGATTTTTTTTTTTTAGAGCCGATACCGATAATCTGTCAGCTTTCAGGCCAATAGCCGATAACATGCCGATATTCTGTACATTTACCATTTGGAAAAAATAAACTATTTTTGTAGTGCATGCAGTGTGTTTAGACACTGTGTTTGTGTAGTGGATGCAGTGTGTATTTGTGTAGTGTGTATATAATGAATGCAGGGTGGGTGTGTGTAATGTGTATATATAGTGAATGCAGTGTGTGTTTGTGTAGTGTGTATGTAATGCAGTGTGTGTGTTTCTGAAGATATGTAATTTGTGTAAAATGGGGGGGAGGGAGATATTATATATATATATATATATATATATATATATATATATATATATATATATATATATATATATATATATATATATATTCCCTGGTTGTTAATCTGGCCAGGGAGGGGGTCTATGGCAATCCCTGGTGGTCCAGTGGCATATACTGAGCAGTGGGGGGAGCAAGCTGTTACTTACACACACACACACACACACACACACACAAGTGTATATTATTAGCCTTAACAGACAGATTTTACAGGAGACTATGTTGTGAACATCAGAAAATACATTTTAAATAAAAAGGCTAAAAAAAGTAGAACTCTGCAATTGTATGGTGAAATGCATTACATTTTGTGTGGGTGTTCAACACACAGGGCTCTTATAAACACACACTGCATTCATTATATATATATATATATATATATATACACACACACACACACACACACACACACACTACACAAACACACTGCATTCACTACACACACTCTAAATGCCAAAGTCCATTACCAACACCCGATGCCGGTGGGACAATGCTTCAGCATGTGTTTCACAAATTTTTTTTTACAAAAATAAATAATAAAAATTCAGAAAAAGGAATAAATACATTTAAAAAAAAAAATGCATGGAGCCCGGGGTTGCATCAGTGAATCCCTACTTCCTTCCAAGTCACAAAATGACAACATGATAAGCTGTACTATCCTGTACTATCCTAAGCTGTAGATCTCAGCGAAATACTGGAAATATTGGGATTTCAGTAAATGTTTATAGGTAAGGAGGAGTTCAAGAAGTCATAATAGTTGGAGGAAATACTTGTCCTTGAATGGAGTGAGCAATAACTCATTCACAAGTACTGCTGATGACCATATAAAAATAAAAAAAAAATAAAATAAAAAAAAAGAACGAACCCCCAAAAAAACCCCGCACTTTAACAATTATGGATGAATGGTTACCCTTTTGCTGGGGCAAGTAGAAACACACCTGCCACCACTGCAATTGGAAGAAAGTGACACAGTAACAATACCCAGTAAACCTATGTGCTATCATCTTATTCTAGTGATTTTCTACAAGCACGCAAGGTCAACTGCAGGGAATCTCAGATTATAATTAATTTGTATTGAATTTGGGGCTATGCTAGGACAGACATGCATTTGGTACACGTTAAAACACACAAAAATTAACACACTCATATACAAAGCTTAAAAGTTCAAGTCATACATTACTATTCAGCAATGCCTCAACACTACATGCCTGGGGATTCCATTGCACATTTAATATGAGTGAAATACTAATAAGGGCAGAATTGTCACTCACAAAGTAACACACACTGGAGTTGGTTGAGTTTTACATGAGACACATAGCTAAATATAAATGTGACATGACATACATTTACATACCCAAAAGGTACTGCCAGTATTCAGTGCAGATTCCTTGGAAGTTTTTGAAGACCAGCTGGATGACGTATAGAGAAAATGACCAGCCACCCAACAGCAACACATAAAAGGGGCTTCTCTAGAGAAAGAAGAGAGAAAAACTGAACATTTTCACAAGTCATCCCTCAACATTCCCCTCACAGCAGAAAATGTAATTAAAGTGACTCTCACCAAAAATAAAAGTGCATCTATCCTGCTTCTATATATCTAGTTTTGTCTAAATCTCATTCTTTTCTTGAGTATAGCATTCAGGCTGAGAAACCTTGGAAATGTGTGGCGCTTACACAAGGTTGTTTTTGTAGCCAAACAAGAGAACCTCGACAACTTCATATAGTTTATTTAGTGCTATAACCCTTTCCCTGCACCCTCTCCTTTGTAAACACTGTCTTTTTGTGAAAAAGAGAACGATTTCTAGTTGTTGTCTAAGCGACCATCCCTAGAAATGTTTCTACCATTTTCATGACCGACGTACTACATCCTAACAAAATGTCTCATAGAAAGCAATGGTGTAATGCATCTCTATGATGAAATGGCAGTTGCCATGCATGTGTTGTAGACTCCCCAATGCTTCAATGTTGAGAAGGAATAAGCAGGCTAAGATAACCCATAATGATCTTAGCCAAGGGTAGAAAGGTGGCCATGAAGCAATGAGGGCAGTAAGTTCACTTTGTTACTGAAAATATACAGGGTGAAACTTTAGAAAGAAGTACATAAAAAAAAAAAAAAAAAAAAAGGGGGTGTGTGGGGCAAACTGTTTCTAAATTTTTGCCCCATTAGCAAGGAACAGGGCCAGGGTACTCCTGGCATTAGAACCAAGACAGTGCACTGCTGTGTTTATGCTTGGAGTAAATCTTTAATATAAGGTTGTTAGCAGCCTGACAATATTTATGCATGCTATTTATATTAGCAGTACACTGATCAGCCACAGCATTAAAACCAGACAGGTGAAATGAAGAAATGATTATATCATTATATAATAAGGCAGCGTGTGAAAAGTTAATTCATGAAATTTAAAAAATAAAAATAAAAAAAAAGATCTGAGTGACTTTGACAATGTCCAAATTGTGATGGCTAGACAGCTGGGTCAGATCATCTCCAAAATGGCAAGTATTGTGGGGTGTTCGTGATATGCAGTGGTTAGTACCATCCAAAAGTGGGGCAAGGAAGAATAACTGGTGAACCAGCGTCAGGGTCAAGGGCAGCAAAGGTTCGTTGATGCATGTGGGGAGCGAAGGTTAGCAAGTCTGGTCCAATCACACAGAAGAGTTACTGTAGCTTAGATTTGAGAAAAACATACTGACCATAATAGAAATGAGTCATAACACAAAGTGCATTGCAATTTGCTGCATATGTGGCTACATAGCCAGAGACCGGTAGAATGCCTATGATAACCCTTGTCAAACACCAAAAGTTCCTTCAATGGGAATGTGAGTGTCAGAACTGGACCATGGAGCAATGGAAGAAAGTTGCCCGGTTTGATGAATCATGCTTTGAGATGGCAGCAGGATGCACTATGAGAAGAAGACAGACTGGCAGAAGCAGTGTTATGTTCTGGGCAGTGTTCTTTTGGGAAACCTTGGATCCTAGCATTCATGTGGATTTTACTCTGACACGTACCACCTACCTAGAAATTGTAGCAGAACACGTACACACCTTTGAGGTAATGGTGTTCCGGATTGCAGTTGCCTCTTTCAGCTGGATAATATACCCTATTTGAGGAACATGAAAAAGTTCAAGGTGTCGCCCAAAATCCCTAGATCTCCATCTGATTGAGCATTTGTGTGATGTGCGTGAACAACAAGTCCGATCCATGGAGGCCCCACCTTACAACTTTCAGGATGTGCTGCTAGAGTCTTAGTGCTAGATACCAGAGGACATGTTCAAAGGTCTTGTGGAGTCCATAACTAGATGCATCATAGCTGTTTGACAGCACGAGTGTGACCTACACTATATTAGGCAAGTGGTTTTAATGTTGTGGCTTATCAATGTATACTGGGACCTCTAAAGTCACACTATACAAATTCACTAAGCATACTTTGCTAAATTTCTGTCAAAATAGCAAGTTTTCAGTTCACAGTATGATAACTAAAGCTCAAGAGAAAAAGAGTGTCAAGTATGACTAAAAATGATGAGTAATTATATAGACTATAAATACCTTGGGCATCAGCTTGGAGAGCATGAACACAAGAATTAGCATTGATGCAACCATGCCCACAGTCATCCCCGTGCTGTAGTAGAAGAGCTGACTCCTGCAAAAGGGAACAAAGCCAACATATACAATTAAAATAAACAATGGTGTGCAGAACAAAATGCAGCTTCTTTTATTTTCTAATCTGGATATATGCAAATATCTGTATGGTTGCTGCACTGCGTGATATTTGTGTTTATTTGATTTCACTACAATTGTGGAGTTATTGCACCGAAGTATAATTTGCACAACATATATATATTTTGTGTCACGGTTTCACCATAATTGGTATTTTGTAACACGTACAAACAATTACAATAGATAAAAAAATAAAAGAATCAAGGGGCCTAACCAAGAGATACCTTGGCTAAGAGCCAAGGGATCTTTATAGTGACAGAGCCGCTTTAAAGAAAAAGGAATATGAAAACACAGCTTAAAGGGACACTCCAGGCACCCAGACCACTTCTGCTCATTGGAGTGGTCTGGGTGTCGTCTCCCACTACTCTTAACCCTGCAAGTGTAATTATTGCAGTTTTTTTATAAACTGCAATAATTACCTTGCAGGGTTAACTCATCCTCTAGTGGCTGTCTACTAGATATACTAGACAGCCACTAGAGGGCACTTCCTACTTCCTAGCACAGAAAACCTGTGCTAGAGCGTCGCTGGACGTCCTCACGCTGTGTGAGGACCTCCAGCATCGCTCATTTCCCCATAGGAAAGCATTGAAAAGCATTTTCAATGCTTTCCTATGGGGAGCTCTAATGCGCATGCGCGACATTGCCGCGCATTAGGTCTCCCTGGCCGGTGGGTGGGATCAGTCTCGCCCAGCGGCAGACGCAATCACTGGGAGGAGCGGCGGTGGCGCCAGAAGGTACATCGTCGCTGCATCTGGTAAGTTACTGAAGGGGTTTTCACCCCTTCAGCAACCGGGGATTGGAGGGTGGGAGGGAGAGGGGACCTGCAGTGCCAGGAAAATGGATTGTTTTCCTGGCACTGGAGTTTCCCTTTAACCCTCAAACTATATAACAAACAGAAACAACCCAAATGTGCATAGCGCTTTAAGAAATAAACAAAGTTGTGATAGACTTAAGCAGCAATTACCTAAAGTGACAAACATAAAAAAAAACCACAATTGTTGCGCTGAGACAGGTGCTCTGAGAAGTGTAATTAAACCACCTGAAATGTGTCTTAGTCACTATAACACTAGCTTAATGTTGGATATAACTATTATATATTCTTTATTTCATCTTCCAACACACAGTTGCTCATTACATTGTTTCATATTTCACCTATGCCAAGCTCAGACACTAAGGTCCAGGATACTTTATTCCCATGTCTGTACTTTGCTGTACTAACCTAACACCATAGTTCCTATAAAAGATTTCAGTGATACTAGAGCCCCCAGCTACAGCAGCCCAGGTGGAGTCAGTCATGACTTGCAATGGCCAGCCCCTGCAGAGAGTAAACCACCAGGAAATCTAGATCAAGGTGAGTCAGTAAGGCCCAGCGCAATGCCCCCGTAAGAGGCTGAACACACGGGGAGCAGTTGAACCATCAAACTGATAACCAACAGCAGTAAAACCCTGCAAACCTGATTTCCACTACATGGCTTAACATATTCATGTTTTTTTATTTTTTATAAACTGCAATAATTACCTTGCAGGGTTAACTCATCCTCTAGGGCTGCCTAGTAGACAAGTGATGCCATCTGTGGCCTAAATAGAACTAATAAAATGAACATGGGAGGTGGAGGTGGGAAGGTACAAACAGTAGGAAAATATTTCTAATTAACATGCAAGTATAACCATGCATCAGATTCAACTATGAGTTAGAGATACAAAAATTACTATAAATGTGTAGATACACTATTTATTGTAAATAACTCACCTGCTGAGTGAGTCACCATAGAAAAACAAAAGAAGACCAATAACGAAAACCAAGAAAAGCTTTGGATCAAAACCTATGTAAGAAAATAATATAAAATAAGTCTCAAATAGTTACCTAGCAAAAAGATTATTTACATTAAAGTTAATGTAAAGACTGTGCATTAATTAGCTCAGTTTTCCATATTACAGATTAAGAATAGCTCTTAAATGTGCTTCCACTATGTAAAATAGTAAAAAAAAAATGCATATATAACGTATTCCACAAAACTGGTGGACTGACAAGCAAGTAGATGTAACAGACAAAACTGATGTGGGCTTTACTCAAACAATATGAATTCATATTCCATCCCCTTGGCCAAGATCAAAATTTAAATCTCAGCCAATCCAATGCTTTCCCATAGGAAAGCAGTGGGAGGCTATTGGGCATGAGCAGCAAAACGCTCCAGTGTACCCTTCAGCATCTACATTGAATGTTAAGCACATCAATTCAGAAAAATGAGACGCTGAACATGAGTGCTGAGCAGTAAGCACCGTCTCAGTGACTACCACTAGGGGTGTTCCTATGGATGAATGTACAGTTGTGCTCAAACATTTGCATACCCTGGCAAAAATTGTTAAATTTTGGCATTAATTTTGAAATTATGACTGATCATGCAAAAAATATTTTTACAAAAAAATGGTCTTATTGAAGGATAATGATCATATGAAGCCATTTATTATCACATAGTTGTTTGGCTCCTTTTTAAATCATAAAGGGTAAAAGAAATCACCCAAATGGCCCTGATCAGAAGTTTACATATCCTTGAATGTTTGGCTTTGTTACAGACACACAAGGTGACACAGGTTAAAATGGCAATTAAAGGTTAATTTCTCACACCTGTGGCTTTTTAAATTGTAATTAGTATCTGTATAAATAGTCAATGAATTTGTTAGCTCTCACGTGGGTGCACTGAGCAGGCTAGATACTGAGCCATGGAGAGCAGAAGGGAACGGTCAAAAGACCTGCGTAACAAGGTATTGGAACTTTATAAAGATGGAAAAGGAGATCAAACGATATCCAAAGCCTTGAAAATGCCACTCAGTACTGATCAATCACTTAAGAAGTGGAAAATTTGGGGATCTCTTGATAAAAAGCAAGATCAGGTAGACCAAGAAAGATTTCAGTCACAACTGCAAGAAGAAATGTACGGGATACAAAGAAAAACCCACAGGTAACCTCAGTATAAATACACGCTGTTCTGGAAAAATATGGTGTGGTTGTTTCAAGCACAATAAGATGATACTTGAAGAAAAAAAAAAAAAAAAATGAGCTGAATGGTCAAGTTGCCAGAAAGAAGCCTTTAATGGGCCAATGACACAATAAAGCCCAGTTACAATATGCTCAACAAACAACGCAATGGACAGATGGTGGACAGTTTTGGGATTTTTTTTTTTTAATGAAATTTTATGCTGATTGATTCTAACTTATGTGTAAGTAATAAATATATTTTTTTACTTTGGACACATCTTTCTACTTTTCATTTTGGATGCATTCTATCTTTTTATATTATTGAGACCTGGAAGTTCATGTATTGGAGTAAGAACACTACCTGAGATCTACATGGATTTTTGATACGCCTTATTCATTCAGTCAAAGTGTGAGTGATCCATTTGGCAATATCATACGGAGTTGCACTATGTTATTTTTTGTTTCCCTATAGTTGGATTGACCCTAATTTGTATTTATGTGTTTGTGGAAGATTTGAGGAGATCTTCGGGTTTAAATCTACAACTTAGAGGGAAGTTATTTATATTGTTTATTCACTGAAGGCACTTTGTGTTTTATATTATATTGGTGAAATCTCAATATCACAGAGTGATTTAGTGAAAGAGTTTGCATTTTTTTTACATTAGTACCCCCTATGTACAGGTTTTATGGTGTTTAGGAAAGTTACAGGGTCAAATATAGCATGTTACATTTCAGTTTTTTCACATTGAAATTCGCCAGATTGGTTACATTGCCTTTTAGACAGTATGGTAGCCCAAGAATAAGAATTACCCCCATGATGGCATACCATTTGCAATAGTACACAACCCTAGGTTTTGCAAATGGGGCTAATGTCCTGGCCAAAGTTAGTGTTAATATTTGTTTGTGTGTGAAAAATGCAAAAAACTAATTTGAACATAACCAACCTGGCGAATTTCAATGTGAAAAAACTGAAACGCAAGCCTTATATTTGACTCTCTAACTTTTGAAAACATCATAAAACCTGTACACGAGGGGTACTGTTATGCTCAGGAGACTTCGCTGAACACAAATATTAGGGTTTCAAAACAGTAAAACGTATCACAACAATATCGTCCGTGTAAGTGACATTTGTGTGTAAAAAATGCAAAAAATGTCACTTTCATGGATGATATCGTTGCAATACATTTTACAGTTTTAAAACACTAATATTTGTTTTCAGCGAAGTCTTCCGAGTAAAATAGTACCCCCCCATGTACAGGTTTTATGGTGTCTTGGAAAGTTACAGGGTTAAATATAGTGCAAGGAAATTAAATTCCCTGGACTTTTGGCTTGGGTTGTCAGGCAGGTCCCGCAAATTGTAATTAATAAAATGACCTAATTATGTAAAACTATTACATAAATACATACGTGTGTATAATTATATATATATTTTTTTAATTATTTTTATTTATATAAAATAAAAATAAAGTCCAAACGTATAGTGATATATACTTATGTATATAAATATATATTATTTCGTTCAACATGTATTTTGATATCAATACATATATTAATTTTAAAATACAGTTAGAACGAATTTACACATTTGTTTATTTAACGTATTTAATATATATATATATATATATATATATATATATATATATATATATATATATATATATATATATATATATATATATATATTAATATTAAACTACATTGAAAACTACAGGCACTGCGCCTGCTGGCAATGCCTTGGACGGCTATGCTGTCCATGTGATCGTGAGGTCCTCGCAAGGACCTCACGATAACATGGCCCAGGGGGCCGAAGAGGACAGAGGGGGACTCCCTGGGCTCCCAGGTAAGTCCCATACTGCGATCGCCGGCGACTGGGTAAGTAGTAAGGGCGGCGGGGACATTCTATGCTGCCCTCTGGCGTTTAGAGCCGGTTCCCTAAGGAAGGCATAGAACGCCCGCCGTCCTTAAGGGGTTAAAGCATTGAATAGATTTTGATCTCTTCTCCCTTGGCACCAACAGGAATGGAGATATGTAGATGAAATGAATGGGCCAAACAAGATATCAAAAGTGAAGAGACACAGAAGACTAAATCCTAAAAGACCTCTAAAGTTACCCAGACCACTTTATCACAATGTAGTGGTATGGGTGCAGTGGCTCCTGTAAATTTATCCCTGCAATGTTTACATTGCATGATTAAAACACACCACTAGCGGCTGTCATCCAGACAGCCACTAGATGCGCTTTCTCCTCCATAACAGAGAAAACGCTTTCCTGGAATCAAATACTGCAATGGATTGGAGAAGAATGTGGGTGATGTCAGCTTGAATGCCAACATCACCGAAGGAGGAGCTGGAGGCTCCAAGGGATGAATACCAGTGCTGGAAAAGAGGTCAGTAATCATTCTTTAATTTAGATTTTACAGAGAAAAAGGGTTTGACAGTACTGACAAAGCTATAAGGGAACCTATAGTACCAATATAACTTGCTATTTTCGGCATTATACACTCCATTTAATTGTTAAAGTAATGCACTAGTAGAACATTCAGAAAAGACAAGCAGGCAAAATTTCAGGTAGTTCTCACCTCGAGAAAGTGCTACACTGTATACTGTATCTGCCTCATTAACATTTACTTTAATGCAGGTTTTGTTGCTATGGAGGTCCACGTTTATGTAGGTGTCATTCAATTTTTCCTTCATAAAGGAGAACAGGTCAAAAATATTGAAGCCTTCCATTTCCTGTAATTTCTCTTCACTATCTACTTGGGTCACTCTTATCATTTTGGTACTGTTGATCCGGATCTGCAAAAACAGAATATAAAAGACAGCAACAAATCAGATCAATAGAATGTCATGAAAAGCAATGTAGTAAATGTATCAGAAACCATTACAAAAGTACATCCTGGAAGGCTGTGGGCAATTTCGATCCTAAAATTGTTCTCTAATGTGATTAATTCTATCATATTGTTATTGCACTTTTGTATAAAATCTTAGAAATGCAGTTCTATATATAATTTACAGTGTAAAAACAATCATATGCAGAACTGCACTTGGCATTCTGATTGACACTGAGAACTGTAATACATAGAGTCTCTGTGGACTAAAACAGTACAAAACATAAGAAATATGAGCCAACAAGTTCACAGCAAATGCCCAACACCACATGGGGTGTACCCCTGAACATAACTCTTAGGGCAAAAGAAAAAGGGTATGGGTCCCTAGCATGACAACATAATCTTTATTTAGTTGTTATAAAATTGTGTAGGATCCATAAATTTCCCAGATCGTAAAAAAACCCTCTGGCTCGGGCAGCTGATTATTTTTGTTTAGCACCAAAACATTAACACTGTCATTGTTACTTAGTGGCTCAATTAGTAACTACAATAACTAAATACCAAAGCACTACTTAGGTAACTTGATCCATAAGTTAAAAATATAATACATAAGGCAATAGTTAAATTTTAAGAGATAGCAAAAACATACACAGGTTAAAGAAACATTTCTTTATTCTATGATGAAAAATTATTAAGTATGAACATATAAACAGATATATGGTTGTGCTCACCTTTAACAGAGCCCTGGATTCCCAGCTCTGAGGTTGATTGACAATGTGCTACTTTTGTTGGGATAGCACTCCCCAAATGTGGTTCCTGATGGCTAGGAAGGACTTTTTGGAAAATAAAAATAAAAATGTCCACATGTTAAGTCCAAAATTCAGCTAAACGCATTTCACTCTATGAGCTTCCTCAGTAGCGGTCAGCTGAAACGCGATTAGCTGAATTTTGGACTTTTTTATTTTATAGATGAAGTACTATTTCTGTTTTAATTTATTACCAATAAATTACTTTTAATACCTTATACTTATTAGACCAAAAAGTCCTTCCTAGCCATCAGGAAACACATTTGGGGAGTGCTATCCCAACAAAAGTAGCACACGGTCAATCAACCTCAGAGCCGGGAATCCAGGGCTCTGTTAAAGGTGAGCACAACCATTACCAACAATACTATATTTACGTTTTCATACAATACTACACAGCTGGTTTGTCTCTTTCTCGTTCTATATCCCTGGAGGAATATCGTTCGGGACAAGGGGTATGTTGCTGCCCAAAAAGCATAAAGGATTTACTTACGGAGCCAATACCACATAGGCTCCAGGCCATGTGAGAGGTTCAAGTCACTTTCTGTTATCACTCATCTTCATTTGAAAACCATCTGCACTACATATGTTTCCTTTTGTATGCATATTCAAGCGTACACTTCCAGATTGTCACTGTATCGAAGGGGTTAGTGTACCCCTTTATTATTCATATTGTAATAGCGCTCCACTTGTTGGTATATAGCCTATACCATTCTGCTTTATTTCTGTATTGTACTGTGGATAAAGGGTATTCCACTTTTTGTGTTGAGCTGCTTTCACTGTTTAGGCACTTTAGAGTATCACTCACTATCCCTGGTAAGAGATAGTGGTTTCTTGCGTTCAACTTTACATGAACATATAAACAGTTTACAAATTCTACAGGTCTACAATCCTGCTTGAAAAAGCAATGGGTTAGTGTTTTCCTATCTAGATATTATTAATATTTAATTAAAAAGGGATTTCCCCCCCCCCATTCTTACCTGCACCTTTGTCCATATGTCATTCCACTTTGGCTCAGTGGTTTTCCTGTAGCAGAAATTCTGAGATGCATTATAGCTTAAAATTGATCCCTCTTGAAGTGCAATAATATGTACCTTAGTTTCTTTAACAGAAAACAAAAACAAGACACATAAATGTAGACTGCAATGAAAAAACAGAGGTAATATAGAATGGCTGTCTTATTACAAGCGTTCAACAGCTTTGAGTTAGTTTTAGATGTTAACACTTCCCACTGTTTGGGGGGAAAAAGATGGAGTTTGGGGGCTTTATAGGTTACAGGTATAAATAATTTAATTCCAAAAGTTATATTTTGACTTTTTTTTTTTATATAAATTGGACTATATATTGCAAATTTAACAGGCTATACCAGTACTGATCAATCCTTTTAAATATCACTACTGAGCTTGCCACTTAAAAAAAAAAATTGTCTCAAACTGGCCAGTCCAAGCAATATCTATCAATACAATTGGATTGGAGTCAGCATAGTGTGGTCTACTGTATAGTCAGTAAAATGGGTGAAAATAACTGCCATATGATAAAAGTTTAAATATATAATTCGCAATATCCTAGACCAGTGGTTTCCAACCCAGTCCTCAAGTACTCCCTAACAGTCCAGGATTTAAGAATTACCCAGTTAATATTTTTGAGGCCCAGCGAGCCGCGAGTTTGACATGTTAAGGCATAGTAGGCACCTGCTCTCCTTACATTGCAGATACCTACCTCTGCTCCATCACACGCGTCCTTTGTAGTGATGCCGGGTGCCAGAATTACGTCATATTCCGGCATCACTACAGTGAGGGAGCAGTGAGACTGAGCTCCTGAGAGAAGATCCCCACTGGACCCCCGGGAGAGGTAGGCAACAATAAATAAAATGATGTGAGAGTGTCTGTCAGAGAGTGTGATAGTCAGTGTTGCAATGGCCGCGGCTGGACACTGGAGGATCTGGAGGTGCACGGAGGCACGCAACGCCACGTCACATTCTGAAGTGACATCAACGTGCTCCACCTTCACAAGGTTTCAAGGAGTAGCAGGAATATCCGCTTTAGGGCAGGGTGCGGACAGCACCATTGTGGGCATACCAGAGGCTGGACTCCGGAGTTGCATACTAACAGCGGCAATGTGGGTGGAGTCTGCTTGTTGACTGTTTTTTTTAAACAAAGGACAGGGCTTAGTAGAGGGGGGTGCTGGGATTTAGTAGAAGGCTGGGACTTAATGTAGGGGGTGGAAGGAGGGTGCTGTTTTTTGTTTGTGTTTTTTTTATACTGTACTTTTCAAAACAAACCTACGTTTCAATGAAAATGTAAGGTTTTGGGGGTTTTTTGCGGCCCACAAATTAAACCTTGTTTATTTGGCCTGTGCTAGCCTTTGAGTTTGACATGCTTGATCTAAAGTGTTTTAAGAAAAAAAGAAAAAAAAAAAAAACACTATAGATTCAACAGGGTAGTCCCTAAATCCTAGACTGGTAGAAGGTACTTGTGGACTGGGTTCAGAATCCCTGTCCTAAGGCACGGTTTTGCAAATGGTATGCATTTATGGAGTATTTTGAACTTGCAGGTAGCTAAGCACAATGCTTTTTATTTTCATCGAATGCATACATGGGGGTTTACAAAATAACATAAATGAAACTTTGTGTGTGAACATAAGAAAACCCAAATTATGCAATATTATTTCTAACCAGCAGAGGATGACAGCAAAAAGAAAATGAAGAGTTGAAAAATCTCTAGATAAATACAAATGATGTGTACAGTGGAACCTGGAATACAAACTTATTCCGTTCCAGAAGGCTGTTCAAGTTCTGATTTGTTTGAGAACCGAATCCACATTTCCCATAGGAATTATTGTAAATTTGTTTAATCTGTTCCTGGCCCCCAAAATTACATGGATGAGGATAGGCAACTGTTCTTCTGGCATTACATACAAAAGCATATAAAATGGCTATATCAGGTCCAAAATATCTAATACCCCTCTTTCCTCTGCTTGTATCCTTATGTCCATAATCACTCTTCCCTTACTTGTGTCCCTTTGTACTCTGGTATGCTTCTCCTTGTATAATAATTCTGTCCATATCCCTTCACCCTTTACTTGTGTCTTTCTGGTTTTCCTCTCCCTATATTCCCCTCTATCCCTTTACATAGTCCATCTGCCCATATTTCCTCATCTCACACTTGTATTCCTTTGAATTACAAAAATGTTTTACACTAAAGGAGGGCCCCCATGTTCACTCACCCATTGGAGATGTGCCTAAGGTAGAGCGTAACGGCTTAAATATTTACCATACCAGAGATCAGTGACATGTTTTCACTCCATATTATTATTATTATTATGTGTTTTCTGTTGCACCAATATTTTCCTTCATCTGCACTACATTTTTTCTGTTTGCACCCTTCCTGACAGTTTGTCCTGCATATAAATAGTTGCTATGTATATATGCCAAACATTGGCTTTTATAGAGATGGTCACACTTGCTGATGATCAGTTAACCCCTTAAGGACGGAGCCAAATGTACACATTGTGAACGAAACAAAATGTAAACAAAACCTGGCATTTGCGCTACATGTCTGTCCAACCGTAATTCACCTCTTTCATATTAAATGCACCCACCCTTATTATATATTATTTTATTCAGGGGAAAAAGGGCTTTCATTTAATATCAAATATTTAGCTATGAAACATAATTTAATATGAAAAAAATGGGAGAAAATAAGATTTTTTTAAATTTTTTTAGTTCTACATGACATTTTAAATGTCAATTTCATAATACTGTTTGCTGTTTGCTTTTATTGCAATAAAATACACATATTTGTATTCAGCAAAGTCTCACGTGTAAAACAGTACCCGCTATGTACAGGTTTTATGGCGTTTTGGGAAGTTACAGGGTCAAATATAGCACGTTACATTTGAAATTGAAATTCGCCAGATTGGTTACGTTGCCTTTGGGACTTTATAGTAGCCCAGGAATGAAATTTACACCCATAATGGCATACCATTTGCAATAGTAGACAACCCAAGGTATTGTAAATGGGGTATGTCCAGTCTTTTCTAGTAGCCATTTGGTCACAAACACTGGCCAAAGTTAGCGTTAGTATTTGTGTGTGAAAAATGCAAAAAACGCCACTTTTGGCCAGTGTTTGTGACTAAGTGGCTACTAAAAAAGACTGGACATACCCCGTTTGCAATACCTTGGGTTGTCTACTATTGCAAATGGTATGCCATCATAGGGGTAATTTTCATTATTGGGCTACCATAGGGTCTCAAAGGCAACGTACCCAATCTGGCAAATTTTAATGTGAAAAAAATGAAACACAAGCCTTATATTTGACGCTGTAACTTTTGAAAACACCATAAAACCTGTACATGAGGGGTACTGTTGTACTCGGGATACTTAGCTGAACACAAATATTTGTGTTTCAAAACAGTAAAAAGTACCGCAGCAATAATATCGTCCGTGTAAGTGCTGTTTGTGCGTGAAAAATTCAAAAAATGTCACTTTTACTGGCGATATCATCGTTGTAATACATTTTACTGTTTTGAAAACATTAATATTTGTGTTCAGCGAAGTCTCCCGAGTAGAACAGTACCCCCCATGTACAGGTTCTATGGTGTCTTGGAAAGTTATAGGGTTAAATATAGTGCTAGCAAATTAAATTCCCTTTACTTTCGGCATGGGTTGTCAGGCAGGTCCCGCTAATTGTAATTAATTAAGATACCCAATTATGTAAAAATATTACATAAATATATATGTAGAATTAATATATGTATATATATACGTATGTGAATATATATGTATATATATAATTTTTTTAAAATATTTTTATTTATATATAGGTATGTATATAGTGATATATACGTATATATTTATGTATATAGATATATATATATTATTTCGTTCTATGTGTATTTTGATATAAATATATATATTAATATCACAATACAGTTAGAACGAAATAACACACATCTATATATTTTTTAATTAATTGTTTTAAATTATTTTTTAATTTTATTTTTTAACGTATTTACATATTTAATTTTTTTATATTATATATAAATATATATATATATAACAATAATTATATATATATTTAATAAGTATCAGTCTACGTGTAATTTGATATTAATATATATATATATATATATATATATATATATATATTAATTGTAAAATACACCTATACAGTGTACGTGTGTGTATGTATATGTGTATATATATATACTTAGATCATATATATATAATATATTTTTATGATCTAAGTATATATTATTATTTTTTTACACTTTTAACATTTATTTATTTTATTTTCAGCCAGCAGGGGGACCACCTGTCATTACAGGCAGCCCCCCTGCTGGCAATGCAGGAGGCAGCTATCTCAGCCATGTGATTGTGAGGTCCTCGCAAGGACCTCACTCTCACATGGCCGGGGGGGACCGGAGGAGGAAGATCTGCCGCGGGGGGGGCTCCCTGGGAGTCCCCCGAACCACGATCGCCGGCGTGGGACCGCCGACGACCGGGTAAGTAAGGAAAGACTGGAGGGCGTACTATTACGCCCGGCGGCGTTTAGAGCCGCCTAAAATAGGGCGTAATAGTACGCCCTCCGGTCTTAAGGGGTTAATCAAGGGTATCTGATTAGTTGCACCTGTCTTACTTAGCCACTTAATTTCTATGGAAGCAGTAAGAGTATACTTAGTTTTTCACACATGGCTTCTCAATTTCGGCTTTATTTTTGTGAAATAAATCAATACACTGTCATTTTTGTTTATCTAAGGTTGCATTAACCCTTTAAACCCTTAAGACCGGAGGGCGTACTATTACGCCCTATTATAGGCGGCTCTAAACGCCGCCGGGCGTAATAGTACGCCCTCCGGTCTTTCTGTACTTACCCGGTCGCCGGCGATCGCGGTTGGGGTGGGACTCGCAGGGAGTCCCCCGCGGCATGTCCGACCCCCTGAAAGCCCCCCCGGCCATGTGAGAGTGAGGTCCTTGCGAGGACCCCACAATCACATGGCCGGGGGTAGCTGCCTCCTGCATTGCCAGCAGGGGGGCTGCCTGTAATGACAGGTGGTCCCCCTGCTGGCTGAAAATAAAATTAATAAAAGTTTATAAGTGTAAAAAAAAAATATACATATAATATAAAAAAAAAAAATATGTAAATATGTTAAAAAATAAAATTAAAAAAATAAAATGAAACTTTTTTTTTTAATTCTTATTTTCTCCCATTTTTTTCATATTAAATTATTTTTTATAGCTAAATATTTGATATTAAATGAAAGCCCTGTTTCCCCTGAATAAAATGATAAATAAGGGTGGGTGCATTTAATATGAAAGAGGTGAATTATGGTTGGAAAGACATGTAGCGCAAATGCCAGGTTTTGTTTCGTTCACAACGTGTACATTTGGCTCCGTCCTTTTTTTTTTTTTTTTTACACTTTTAATTTTATTTTCAGCCAGCAGGGGGTCATTACAGGCAGCCCCCCTGGCCATGTGATTGTGGGGTCCTCGCAAGAACCTCACTCTCACATGGTCGGGGGGCTGCCAGGGGGTCGGACGTGCCCCGTGGGACCGCCGGCGACCTGGTAAGTAAGAAAAGACCAGAGGGCGTACAATTACGCCCGGCGGCGTTTAGAGCCGCCTAAAACAGGGCGTAATTGTACGCCCTCTGATGTTAAGGGGTTAAATACAGTAAAAAAGAAAATCACAACTGTACATACAGTAGTGCAATGACAATTTTATTCATAAAAAAATACCCCTCTCTGTCTCAAAGAAATCTCTGCAAGAAGCTCAAGGAAGCAAGGTGAGTAGTCAGTGTAGGACCCACCTAAGAGGTTTGCCTTGACGTGGCAGGTGGGCATCCCTCTCATGGCCATTGTCACTTTCTCCCGCTGCCTCTCTATGTCGCTTTGTTTCCCCACTAGCCATTCCATGCATCTCAGTTCTCCCCACCCCTTCACGTGTCATATTCTCTACTCCCCCAGTTTTGATTTTAGCAGCAACTTTTTAGTTTTAGTTCTACTCTTTTCACTAAAAAAAACATTTTAATATTAGCCGTATTTTAGTCATCTTAACTGTTTTAGTTTACAATCTCCAATATTTTAGTTGACTAAATCTGACGAAAAGTGTACCAAGACTATGGACACAAAGCGACAGGGGGGAGAGGTGCGGGGGAGAAAGACACGCATAAATGGTCCTGTGGAGAGAACAAGACACAGAGTGGCTGGGGAAGGGACAAAAGAGACTGTCAGGGGCATGGGTGGGGGAGACACCCAGATGGCCTGGGACACACACAAAGAAACAGAGGGTCTGGGGAATGGGCAAAAAAGACAGATCGGGGCTGGAGGAAAAAAACATCTGTCATTTCTCCAATGACAAACTGCTAAACCTAAAATCTACCTGACTTTTAACCTAATCTTAGGAATGCTCCCCAAACCCCACACGGCAAAAAGTCTGGCAGCCCTCCCATTGTGAATAAGTTTACTACTTGCTGCACCTGTGGGAGCTGCCAGACCAATGGCAGTGACTGTCCCCAGTGTAGTGAGAAGCTTTAGCTTAACTATGCCAAACGTGGGGAAAGAGGGAAGTCCCCGGAGTACTGATAGCACATGATGTGGACTGAAGGACCTGGAAACATGCAGTCTTTTTACCTGAAGCTGAAATACACAATACACTGGGTAACAGTAAGAGCAGCACCAGTAAACGCCCGCAGGCCATTCCCAGGCCTCTTTCGTTTTCCACTTCTCCCGCCATAACCGAGGACTTGAACGAGGCAGCGGCACCGAGGCTTGGAACGCAAGCACAGCTAATCACCAAGGCGCGCCCGTCACAGCCTTACACAGCCGCGCGTATGGATGACGTAGAATGACAGGCGCGTAAAGGAACGTCACTGGCGCTGCCACCGCCTTCGCCCTGTAAGGAATGTGCCTGTCAGAACAGCTGGCTGTGCCGCAGCTAATGGGGACAAACTGTAAGCCATGGGTATTATACTAATCTGTGAGAGAGGTGTCAATTATTATAGGGCTACATCTGGTTTATTTTCCATTTCATTATAAAACTTCGTTTTTAAGGCTCATGGTGTGTCATTCCCCTTAAAGGGACACTTCGGGCACCATCACCACTTCATATTAATAAGTTGTTATGGTGCCTAAACTATCCCTTTAAAGTAAAACGATTTTTTTTTGGCTAAAATTATATATATATTTTTTTCATTGACATCTGTCTGACCCCACTTTAATCTTTAAAGATTTCCAATAAATAACCCATTATATACCTTTTTCCAGCGTTACGACTCAATTCTTGCAGCTGCCCCACCACTCCTTCCGTTAATCTAAATGCCTTTTGACTCCTCTTGAACTTCTCGTCCATATTAATACTTCTGATAGAGAAGCACTGTGGATGAGACGTTAATGTGCAGCAAGTGAGACGCGCGGATTGAGTGTTAGACATCCTCGGCTTATGTGGATGAGACTGTTTGCGGGGTAGTATGTGTGCATGTAAATGGTGCACATAGTGTGCTTGTGTGTATGTAAATAGGAGCTGTAGTTTGTGTTTGTTGTTGAGTGGAGGCGGCAACGGAACTGGGCTCTTCTTGCTCTGCTCCCTCGCACACCGCTTAGTGATGCCAGGGCCGGAGTGACGTCATATTTAGGCTCCTGGCATCACAGAAGGGCACATCAGGGAACAAGAAGAGCTGAGGACATCACTCCCTTGCCGCCCAGCTAGAATATTAGCAGTTTAACTCCTTGGGAGCTCTAAGGTGGCCAGCTCTTGGCCCCACCAGGACGCAAGGCAAACAAAGCATTTACCTGGGTGCTTAGGGCAGCATCTTTTGCTGCCCTAGGCAAATGCCTTGTTTGCCTTGCTGTAAAAAAAGCCCAGGGTGGAAGAGAAAGGTTGTAATTGATAGAAGCTTTAGTGAAGTCATGCTGACTGATGGGCTTTAAAAATAAAATTTAATAAAAAATAAATAAAGTTTATTTCCCCCTTATCTTGAGGCTTACCTTGAGCTGGGGAAGGGTGAATCTTGGATCCTGGTGGTCCGGTTGAAGTTCTTGCTTGTCCGCATTCCTTGTGATTTTTTATGATTTTAAGTTCTTTTAATCTAATAATTGAAATACTTTTTTGATGGATCCATTTTTAATCCTTGGCCAGTGTTCAAATGGTCACAGTGGATTTATCTGGCAAAAAATGTAATCTGAGAATAAATCGGAATTAGTTGGGAACTTTCTTATTGCCGCTGCATTTTCACATTCTGGATGAAATTTCTAAAAAAAGTTTCATATATATTTAACCAAATTATTACAATGTTCTGAGAAAATGTGTTTTCGTATTTAGCTGTAGGTAAACTTAGGGCTGATGATGAATAAAAAAAAACAAAAAAAAAACTAATTGATATATATATATATATCTCTCTCAATCATATGAGATTGTCTGGTGAGGGCCAGTCTGATAGCCCCTCATTGCATAATTTTGTACGTTAACGTTCATGGACAGAATATCTAGAATAAAAATTTTTTTAAAAATGGATTTTCAAGTCTTATAAATCACTGGTTATAACCATTTGTAGGACTGAAGAAATACATTTTATAACTTACTAGGGATCGACCGATATTGATTTTTAAAAATTTTTTTAGCACCGATACCGATAATCTCTGAACTTTCACTCCGATGGGCGATAATTTACCAATACCGATATTCTGTACATTTACCATTTTGAAAAAAACTATTTCTGCACAAATCTACTGTTAACTGAACATGTTTATTATTTATTTTCAGTCTGTGTAGTGGAAGCAGTGTATGTAGTGTGTACAATGAATGCAGAGTGTGTGTTTGTGTAGTGTGTGTATAGTGGATGCAGTGTGTGTGTTTGTGTAATGTGTATATGGTGAATGCAGTGTGTGTTTGTGTAGTGTGTATAGAGGAAAATGTATCCATACTTACCGTAATTTTCTTTTCCTGGTCATAGGCCATGGCAGCACAACAATGGGTTAGCTCCTCCCTATCCCTAATTAGACAGGAACTAATTTAAAATAAGAGTATAAATACCCCCTCCCACCATCTCCTCCCTCAGTTTTGTTAACGGCAATATCCCAGGGCGGGAACATTGTGCTGCCATGGCCTATGACCAGGAAAAGAAAATTACGGTAAGTATGGATACATTTTCCTCTTTCCTGGCCATATCCATGGCAGCACAACAATGGGTAATACCCAAGCAATAACTAAGGGAGGGAAGAAAAGAAAAAAATACAGACTCAAAACTTCAGAAATGCCAGTGTATTAGAAACCCACACGTGAAATAACAGACATAATCAAACTTATGCAGAGTTGGATGCCGAAAGAACAGTTTTGCCAAAGTGGTCTAACTGGCTGGCTTTTACATCAATCTGGTAATGTCTTATGAAAGTGTTCGTGGAGGACCAAGTGGCTGCTTTGCAAATCAGTTCTGGAGAAACTTTATCTGCTGCCCAAGAAGAGGAAAGGGACCTTGTAGAATGAGCCTTGAGACCTTCTGGGATTTTTGTATTAGATGCCTTGTAAGCTTGTATGATGGCTGATACGATCCACCTGCTGATGGCTACTTTAGACGCTTGAAGCCCTCTTCTGGGACCGTTAGGAATGATGAACAGTCTTTGAGAGGTACGCCAAGCAGATGATCTTTGTAAATTAATAGACAGACATCTTACCAGATCTAAGAAAGAAGGCTTGGGTTCTGACTCATTTTCAGTTTCTTCTGACTGAAGAGCTGGGAGTACTATCTCCTCGTTGATGTGAAATGCTGAGACCACCTTAGGTCGAAATTTGGGAATAGTTCTCAGGATTACTCTGTCTTTGTGAAACACAGGCTCTTTGGCTGATAAGGCATGGAGCTCAGACACCCTTCTACCTGAGGCTAGGGCTACCAACAGAACTGTTTTCATGGTAAGAAAATGAGGAGAGATGGATTCTAGTGGTTCAAAGGGAGGACCGCTCCGAGCTTTTAATACCAGCGGTAGGTCCCATGGCGGAGCAAATGGCTTGATGGGAGGCTTTATCTTTAATACCGCTGACATGAACCTGGTCACATCCTTGTCCAAAGCCCATCTGTGATCCATTAGGGCTGAAAGAGACAAAATATGAACTTTAAGGGTGTTGTAGCTTAACCCTTTGTCAAGACCTAGTTGTAGGAATTCCAGAATATCTGTAGTAGAGATTGACTGTGTATTAATTTGTTTAGATGTAGCCCAGGAGAAAAAGACGTCCCAGTTTCTGTAGTATGTGGTGGACGTAGAGCGCTTCCTTGCTTGTAGCAGAGTGTCTATTACTGCCTGTGAGAATCCTTTTCCTTTTAACCCTTCCCTTTCAACTTCCATGCCATCAGATTGAGAGAGGCTGGGACTGGATGGAGAACTGGGCCTTGATGTAGAAGCGAAGGAATCTTTGGAAGCTGCCAAGGGTCTGATTTGCAAAGGCTCAATAGTAGGGGAAACCATGGTCTGCATGGCCAAAAGGGGGCTACGAGAATGATGGCTACTTTCTCTTGTCTCAACCGTCTCAGAAGTGGAAAGATGAGTGGAGTAGGAGGGAATGCGTAACCTAGGTTGAATTGCCAATCGCTCGATTGAGCATCTCTTCCTATAGCCAGAGGATCTATGTTCTTCGAGAAGAAGTCTCTTACTTTCCTGTTCTTGTTTGTTGCCATCAGGTCTATTTGTGGCATGCCCCATATTTGTGTTATCTTCTCGAATATCTTGTCTGACTAGCTCCATTCTCCTGGGTCTATTTCCACTCTGCTCAGGAAATCTGCTATGGAACTCTGGATTCCAGGAAGATGTACAGCTGATATACCTGCTAGATGTGTTTGTGTAAAGGCCATCAGGGTTTCATTATTGACATCATCTTTTGACTCCTGGTTCCTCCTTGATGGTTTATGTAGGCAACTACAGTGGCGTTGTCTGTTCCGATTTTGACCCACTTGAAACGGATAAGAGGAAGAAAGTATTTCAGAACTCTGTGAACTGCCATCAGCTCTAAAAGATTGGACGGAGTGTCTGTTGTTAAAAAGGGCCATTTCCCTTGTATGAAGTGGTCTTGCAGGTGAGCTCCCCATCCCCATAGACTCGCATCCGTGGTTACAACAGTCCACGTGATGTTCCCCAAGGGGAATCCTCTGAACAGGAACTTCTTTTGTAACTACCACATCAGGGATTGATGGACCTGAGGAAGAATCTTCATAGGCTGTCGTGGGTTTCCTGTTCTGAATTGGAAGATGAAATTCTTCTGGAATCTCCTCATCCTCCATTGGGCCCATCTTGTTAGCCCTATTGTTGAGGACATTTAGCCTAGAAGACTCATGCATTTCTCTGCTGAAGTCACATTGAATGCCAACATTTCTTTGACTTTTTTTTATTAATTTTGTACCTCTTTCTTGAGACAGTTGTACTGTGCCTTCTAGAGTATTGAACATGGCTCCCAAATATTTCATCCTCTGAGTTGGCTGCAAATGACTCTCTTTTCTCGTTTATCATCCATCCATGAAGACGTAGGAAACGCATACAGATTTGTCCATGGGCCTGAAGGGTATCTCTGTCTTCGGCTAATATAAGGATGTCGTCCAGGTAATGGTAGATGGCTATGCCCTTCTTCCTGAGTTCCGAAATTAAGACGACTAAGACCTTGGAGAATGTTCTTGGAGCTGTGGAATTGAAAATGCCCTTTCTCTACCGCAAAGCGAAGGAACTTTTGATGTTCTATTGCTATGGGGATATGAAAATAGGCATCTGCCAAGTCTATAGAAATCATCCATTGGTCTGGAAAAACTGTCTTTATGATGGATTTGATAGACTCCATCTTGAATTTCCGGATGTGTAGGTACGTATTTAACCTACTTAGGTCTAGGATAGGCCGCCATCCGCCTGAAGCTTTTCTGGTGAGAAACAGATGAGAATAGAAACCTCGACCCTGTAGATTCCGAGGAACCTGAATGATGACCTTTTCTTCCTGGAGTGTAGAGATTAATTTCTTTAAAGTTTGTCTTTTTTCTTCCTCTCCTGGCCATTTTGTTGTTTGAAAGGAGTGGATTGGAGGAAGTTTGGAGAACTCTAAACGATATCCTCTTCTTATGATATCCAATACCCATCTGTCTGTGGTGGATTGATTCCATGCATCTGGGAATAGTAACAGACGTGCCCCCCACTCCTACTGACTGGGGGGGGGGAGGAGCCTGTTATAAGGATCTGGTATTCATGTGGAATGAAGCCCCCTTTGACTTTCCACCTCT